ATTTTCGTTTGTGTCAGCTGATCTTCGTAAAAATTTTTTAGTTTTGTTTTTAACTTCCAAATATCCACCCTCACTTTTTTCAATTTTCTACCACCTGCTAAAGGCTAATATAATATTAAAGAATATTTTTTGAAGAAAAAAAAAGTCTTTTCAATAAAAAAAGTTTTTGGGCCAACGGGTTGACTACTAAATAAATAAAATAATCCGATTTTGTTGCCCCCAAGAAGACACAACAACAAAACATTTTCTTTTATTTTCCTTTTTTTAACATCCAAATTTAACCTTTTTTGAATTACAAATTACTTTTTTTTTGAATAAAAAAATTTTTTGTTTGCTTGTTTTTGCAAAAGTATGAAAAATGATTTTCTCGAATTCCGGACACCTTTGTAGAGGGTTTGATTCAACTAGGCAGTAGACATCGAATCTCAGAAGGACATATGGGAATTCGATTGATTTGAATTAAGTGAACTTATCTCTCATTAATTTCCTTTAAAAACATTTTATATTCAATAAAATAAATATTTAATCTTTCAATTCTTCGATATATGTACATATCCGATTGAAGAATATTCTATATTAAAAATAACCACTTTTCCTTTCTAATTACAACAACCAACCAACACCCATCCCTCTTTAACTAAATGAATAATCAAATTTGTTTACCTTACGAACTTCTTCGATTACACGAATCTCCAATAGAAGTTTTTAAAAATTTATTTAAAAAATAAATAATAATTTTTTTAAAAAGAGTTTTTTCTTTGTTTGGATATTTCCTTGGCTTTTTTTATTGGGAGTTTTGGGTAATTGTTTAAATCTTTTGGTTCTTTTAGGGCCTAAATGGTCTCTTCGAAGGTAAAATTAAAAATAAAATTTTAATTAAAAAACAAAACAAAAACAGAGCAGATTCTTTATTGCAAGCTTTGGCTATTTGTGATATTATTTTCCTTTTTTTACTCCTCCCTTCTTCACTCGCCCAATTCGACCAATTTGGTCAACAAAAACATTTTAGAGTTTTTTATTTGTCTTTACGTGTTCATTTAATTGGTTTTGCTAATTGGTGTTCTGCTGTTGCTATTTGGTTGGTTATTTTGGAAATTTTAAGGAGGGAGGGAGATTGAGAAAATTCTTTTTTTCTCTAATAAAAAAGGAATGAATAAAAAAATTTTAAATGTTTGTATTCTGGGGAAAATAAGGAAAACGGGAAATGTGGGGAAACCTTAACCAATTCCTTTAACTGTGAGCATTAAGTTATTTCCATAATAATTCCAAGAAAAACCCCCGATAGATTTTTTATATAAATTTAATTTTTGAAGGTTAATTATTGCAATAAGCACAGATCGTTTACTTGGTATTCGCTCACTTCGAAGGCATAGACACGGAAATAGTACTGGACGTTTAGTCTTTTGTATTGTTTTTATTAGTGGATTGCTTACTTCTTACAACCATTTCTCGTAAAAAATAAAAAATTTAAATTAAATTAAATTTAATTATTGTAATATTTCTAAAATGTTTAGAGAATTTAATTTTAAAAATAAAAATATTTAATTAAATTATAAGCAAAAAACTGAAACAAATAAAATTATTTATATCTAAATAGTTATCATTGTGTTTTAAAATGGTTATGTAATGGAGGGCAAGTTGTTGGGAAATGTTTTGATATATTACAAGAAAGTTGGCCTGGAAATCATACAAACAAAACACCCCATCCTTTACGTGCTTATGTTCGTTTAAGTTTAGCGGCAAATGCTCTTTTAGTGGTTTTGGTAAAATTTAAATAAACTTTGTTTTGATGTTTATTCTGAAATTCTTTTTCATTAAAAGTTGCCAGTTTTGTTAATGTTTTTATTAAATGCTGGTTTACTATATGTTGTTAAAAGACGTTCATTTTCTCAAACAACAGTTACTAAAAGTTGTGGAGATTCTATTAATAGAAGGCCGATAAATACTAGATGTTTTAGTCAACAAGCAGCAGAACAACGTTTAACTGTTTCAATAGCAGCAATAGTCTCAGCATTTACTTTAACACAAGGCCCTTCTGCTTTAGTTTTGTTAGCCAGACTTTCTCTTGTTGGAAGTAATACAAACAATAATTACTGGGAAGGTTGGGCATTACTTGGCTCTTTGACTGGATTTTTAGTTATTTTGGGTAAATTGTTAAATTAAATTATTCTGAAAAATTAATTCCGGAAAACTTTTAGTTGGTTCCGGAAAACACCAACTAAAATAAATAATTCTGAATACAGGTTTCCGGAACAGAGAGTTTCCGAACCAAAAAAAGATTTTCCCATAAGATTCCGGAAAATGTATGTATTTTCCGTAAAATACAATTTTAAATAATTCTGAAACATTTTCCTGAAAAACACAGCAACTTTTCCTTTAAATAATTTAAAAATAAAATTTCCGGATAAGCAAAAAAAACAAAATATTTTAGGTAAATCTTTAAATTGTATTTTACTTTGTCTTTCTTCTGCTTCTTTTCGAAAACGCTTAGCCTTAAAACTGGGAGAAAATAAAGTTTTGAATATTAAAAGAAAAAGTTCTGGATGTTCGGCAACAAGAATTATAATTGCAACAAATCACCAAAATATAAATAATTTTTGTTTTAATGATAGAAAACAACAAATTTTGAATAGACCTAGATCTATTAAAAATCGTTCACATTCATTACCTTAAATTTTGTTTATTTTTGAATTTTAATAAACTCTATTTAAAAGGACAATTCACAGAATGGATAATTTTAATTTTAAATAATTTTATTTTTTAAAAAAGCTTGTTTTTGGAGAATTTAAATAATCCTTAAAATTCTTCCCTAAATACCACAAAGTCTTTTAGTATAGGTAATATTATTTTAAAATACATTTCTCGTCTTTAATTTCATCATAAAATAAAAAGAAAAATCTATTAAAAATTTATTAATACCAATAAAAATATATTATTTTTCACATCTTTATATATTCTTCCAATAATCCCAAAGAAGCTCAAATTTTATTTTATATTCATTCTTTCTAGATTTTGGCCGTTTTGGCGTTCGCTTAGATAAAAAGTGATCTTCTTTGATCTTTCCTTTTATCAAATTTCTTTAAATAATTTGATATAAAAAATAGAAACAGGGGCAAGGCTCATTCGAAACAAATAGTTATAATAGGTCGATTGACACATAATTTGTTTCGGAGGTTCGTCATTAGCTTAGATATTGTAAAGTATATAGCTAATTAATTCCTAAGGCTGTGCAATAGGCGGCGTGGAGTAACGGATCAGCTCTGCTTTACTACATACATATACATATATAGGCTCTTAAGGATAAAAAAGGAGCATTTTTGACAAGCTTAAGTGACTTCTTGACAATTATTTCATAAAAATGAGTAAACAACGAAATTCCTCTACTAATAGCTTTGATAATAAATTTCCAAAATCCTTACTCATTTTGATTTTAAATACATTTTTGAATATTTTTGGTTTGTTTATTTGTTGACTCATTTAGAAATCATTTTGCCTAATAAATTTGATTAGAAGTTAGTTTTTTAGTGTCAAAACTCGTATTTTTATATTCAACACTCCAAACAAACTCCACGCCTAAATATATATACTAAAGTCCCCCATTTTATCCTCCAATATATCTACTAAATACTAATTCTTTTCTTAACAATCATCGTCATCACATTTAACGTCTTTTTCCTTCCCTTTCCTTCCCACTTTTTCCAATCTGTTTTAAGTAAGCCGGGTCGGCATGATTTGCCGCCAACTGTCATCATAAAAGTATTTTAACTCATTAAAGCCAACCAATTTATTGCGTCTGATGACCCCCTCAAGAACTTCTTTTTTCTCTTTTAAAACGCTACATAACCATTATATTTTGCTGCCAGAGTTTTAAGTAATAACAAACGTTGATTTTATATTTTCTTTGATTTTTCGTTGCCTTTTTACCCCAAAATATTATTAATTAATATATGTAGTGTTTGTTGCAACGTTCATTTTTTATTAAAAATATTATGTTTATTTAAATATTTTTAAATTTTGAATATGAAAATTAATCTTAAATAGATTCTTTTATAATTATATATAATATCCACTTAATTAACTACTCTTCTCGATTAATTAACCCCTTCAGCCAAAGGGGGTTAATTATTTGAGAAAATAAAGTAGGACTAATTCTTTTCCAAATAATTCCCAGTCTCTATCTCCTTTACATAGGTGGATCTCGAGGTATGAAATAAATTTAGGGATATAATATTTCTATTTTTAAACATGTCAAGTTATTTTTTATTCAATTAATCAAAATTTATGTATATAAATTTTTTAACATTTTAGTTTTTTTCTAAATATAAATAAAGTGATAATGAATTAACAACCGAAATTAAAAATAAAACAAAAAATTCCAAAATGGCAATGTTTAATGCCGATTTTGTCACTTCGGGTTGTTCATCAGCAATACCTTCCCCTACTTCATCACCTTCCTCGGCTAGGGCTTTATCTGAAGGAAATGCAGCAAAAAAGGGTAGAGGTAGTTCTACAAGTCATTATGAAAATGTAGCTAGTAGTATTGTTGGAATTCGGGTTGGTATTTTTACACTCAAATATAACGGATTTTATGTCGTGGTAACAGTTAGAAAAAAAATGAAAGGTGTCTCAATTAAAAATCAGAATTTTTAAATTAACCGAAAATTCTAAAATTATTACCATCAACACTATTGAATATATTCTTAAAAATTGTATTGATAATTTCTACAGGCTGACAAGAAAGTTAGGAGTGAAGTACTGTATTGCCTATAACTTAATTATTATTAAAAAAATGAAAAGTCTTATCTTTTCTGTTATATCGAAATAAATATTGCTAAATTTTGTAAATTGTTAGAGAATTGAATGGGCTACGAAATTAGTATAAAATTATTTAAAAATATTACAGAAAGTTATGGTGGACAAATACCTCACTCCGGACTTCCTTGTTATTCTGTAGTTTATTTACCACGCCTAAAATCCTCAAATCTCACTAAAAATAAAAATTTGTTTTTTCTCTTTTTTGGCAGCCAAACCGATCACGGTCTATTTTTGTTCACCTTCATCACCATCATCCGCCTCTTGGACATCGAGACTCCTTACCCAGTCCTCCATTGAGTCCAGGCGGAATCTCAGTTCGTTCAGCACGAAAAGCTTTGTCTTTGTCCAGTCCAAACAGTTGTTTTAATCGAGTAAATGATTTTTTTAATAATTTTATTATTTTTTTAATTATCTCACTTTTTGTCTGCATATAATCCGGAAAAACCTACAATGAAGAAAAATGTTATACACCTTTCCGGAAATTTCCTAGATTATACCCAATAAATTATAATAGAGTGTATAAAACATGAGAGACTGCAGACATTTTAAAATTCCTTCAATATTAAAATTTTTTAAAATTCTTTTAGGCTAAAAAATTTTACCAAAAATCTCCACTTCGGCATGTCGGTCCCTGGATGTTATTATTACTTTATGCTCTTCTCGGTGCACTTCTTTTCTTTTGTTTAGAAGCAGAAAATGAACGTTTATTAATTCGAAAAGAATGGAATCAATTAGAGCGATTAAGGCAACAAACACTTAGAAGATTAGCTAGAGTAGAGAGGCATCATCAAAAAGAAGTTTTGATACAATTTGAGAGAGAATTAGTTAAAATTAAATTACCTGAAGCTTTGGGTAAGGGGTTTTGTTTTGAAATTAAAATAATTATTTTATATTTTTTCTTTGAAGCTTGGGACTTTTGGGGTGCTTTATTTTATGGTAAATATTAAATTTTTTAAAATATGTATTTTTGTTTTTAAAGTCCAAACAGTATTTACAACAATAGGTTATGGGAATATAACACCTAGAACAACAGCAGGGCAAGCATTTTCAATTTTATATGCAATTGTTGGTATTCCTTTAGTTTTGGCTTTGTTAAATCAAACAAGTAGAAGAATGACTAGATGGTTAAGTCAGAAATGGATAAAGTAGGGAAATTATTTGTTGAAGTTTAAAAGGAAAAGAAAAATTCTTTTAAATAAATATTTTCTCAATTATTTCCAAGTTTTTGTTTGGTGTAGTGGGTAATTGTTTTGACTACACTCTAAAATATTTAATTTCTCTCCTTGGTTCGAATCCGTTCAAATGATGATTGTTTATTTGCTACTCCTAATTGTTCATGGCGATAAATATATCCACCAAAGTTGTTATTCTGATGAACGGAGATTTAATTTTTAGAAATTAATTTTTTAAAAACAAATTCTAAACACCCGCTTCCCATTTAAAAAATTTTTATTTTTTAGTCAGTCATTAAACATTATTTAATCTAAAACTTCAAAATATTTCCAATTTCATTTAAAATAAATTTTTTTAAAGTTATCGACAAAAAGTTAGAAATCAACATAAAAAACAAAAAATAAATGAAAATTGTAATATAAATTTACAAAAACAGCAAAAAGAAGGGAGAGAGGCTGAAGAAGGCAAAAAGACTGTTGTTGATTTTAAAAAAGAAGAAGAAAATGAATTTACAATTAATACAACTGAAAGCAGGTTCTGGAAAATCAGAATTTTCAATTAAAAAATATTTTTTTCAGAACAATTCCTGTTTGGATAGCTTTAAGTTTAGTAGGCGGTTATGTTTGTGTTATTGCTGCTATTTTCCTAGCTTGGGAAAATCGGTTTAAAAATAATTTTTAAATTATTTAAAAATTAATTTAAGTTGGTCTTACTTCACTTCTTTTTATTTTATTTGTATTTCTTGTTTAACTATTGGACTTGGTAAAAAATGTTTTTAATTTAAAAAAAATTTTTCATTAAGGAGATGTTGTGCCTGATCACCCTCATATGCTTATTTTAATGGTTTTAAATAAATTAATTTAAAATAAAAAATTATTTTAATTTTTTAAAGTTTGTTTTTGTTATTTTTGGTCTTTCATTTGTTTCAATGCTTATTTCTGTTATTCAAATAAAAATGGAAGAATGGCTGTACAGAATGCTTATCAGAATGCAGGTAATTAAAATATCAGAAATTATTTAAAACTTTCCGGAAAAGAAACAAAAATCAGAATTTTTAAGACCTTTTAAAAATCAGAATTAATTTGTGTTTTCTGTAAGAAATCAGAATTTTCAAAACTTTCCGGGTTCTTCTAACATCAAAAAATAAAGTAAAATTAATTTTCCTTTAAAAAATAGAAAGAATATCAAAAAGCATTACAAGCTACAACTGACCCAGAAGAACGTGAAAGAATACTTGGAGACCTTTTAGCTAAAGAGCCTTGGTATATGCGTGAATTAGCCCCTCTTTGTGTTAGTGAAAAACAAACTGTTAAATTGGAAAATTTGGTAGAAATTTTGATTAAATTTTGTAAAAAATTAAATAAAAATTAAAAGGCAGAGCAATACGAACGTGTTCTTCTCCCCACAAATACAAGGGGAATACAAACTGAATTTAGACCAACAACAATAAAAGAAGAAGAAATTGAAATATTTGAAGAAGAGGAGGAGGAAAGGAGAATAAATGAACAAAAATTAAAATCACAAAATAAAAATGTTGAGGGTAGTGGAGGTGGAGGGCAGTTAAAAAGGTAGGTGTTTTTTGAATAATTTTCTTCCAAACTAGCCTTTTTATTTAAATTTAGTTAATAATTGTGGAAAATTCTGTTATTTTCTTTCAGAATTTAAAATATCAGAATTAATATAGGCGATTAAATATTTTTCAGAATTTCTTCCGGAATTATTTAAACTCAGAATTAATATTTATTTATTCTGATTTTTTATTTCTTTCAAAACATTTACCAATTTTCTATTTTAACAGAACCGATTCTTCCCAATCAGACAATTCTGTTTCTGATGCAACCTCACTTCCAATGGACCCTTCAAGTATTACAATTTCTTCTCCTATTCCCCCTCCACAATATTGTAAATCTATACAAACAGAGGAAATATTTGAAAAGTTAAAAGACGAAGAAAAGAAAATAGTTAAAGAAATTGGTGTAAATACTTTACAAATTAAAACAATTTCAAAAGGAACACAAAACAAAATTGGGACTAATGTAAATAATTATTTTAATAAAAATTTAAGAAAATTTTGTAGAATCAAAGATTGGATACAAAAGGATTAATTATTTTTGAAGAAAAAGGAATTGGGAATGAAATAGTAAATACAAAATCGAAATTAGTACAAACTGGAAGAAAAACAAGAAAAGAAGGAAATAATTGTGAAGAAGAAGAGGGAAATGATAATGATTTTTGGTGGTTGGTAAATAGAAGGTAATTTAAATTGTTTTAATAAAAAAAAGAAAATCAGAAGAAATGTATTTTTAGAAAATTCTGAAATTTATTTTAAATCAGAAATTTGTAGTTATTTTTTTTTGTATTTTATATTACGGAAAATAATTAATACTTTCCGGAATGTGTTTTTAAAATATAATATCATTAAATCATCCCCCCTCTCAATTTTTTAGTTCCCAAAATTCCCCGCCCATTCTCCACCACTTTGAATCGCAAACTGACCCAATGACCATTTGTGATGCAATTGAAACACTTTTTGGTCCATCAATGCAATTAGAAAGAAGTGAAAGTATTCAAGTACTTGTAGGGGATGATGAAAATGAAATTGGGGAAATGCTTGGGGAAATAAGTACAAATCAAGAGAAAAAAGCAGAAAAACATGATTTGGTTATTCAAGTAAATAAAAGGAATATCTCTTGGAAAATAAATAATTTTTTCTAGACAGATGACAGTTATTTAAGAATTGCTCGCCGTTTGGACACTCTTAGAACTGGAAAATCAGAAACAAATGTTTTTGCTAATGTAAAAATATTTACAAAAAAATAATTTAATTTTAAATAAAAATTTTAAAAAGGTTTATTGTACGGGTGCTGGAATACCAAAGAGAGTAAATACTGGACGGAGAAAATCTCTTCGATTTTTAGAGCCAGCTAGCGATTTTATGAGGGAAAAGTTTGGGTAAGTTTAATGTTATTTTTATGTGTATTTTGTAGAAACAGAATGTATTTATTTTTTATTTTCCGATTTTGAATGTCTAATCAAAACAAACTTAAAATCAAATTCTGGAAATAATTCTGAATTATTTTTAGATGGCATACAAGCAATAAAACCGAAGAGGAGAAGAAGGATAATGAGGAAAGTGAAGAAAAACAAGAGGAAAAAGAACAGGGGACTTATGATGAAAATGTTGAACGTAAAATATCTTCACCTACTAATAGCCAAGATCAATTAAAAATAACAAGAAAAAGGATAAGAAAACACGTCCAACTGCCGCCTGAAGAGGAGGACAGTAATAAAAATGATGAATGAGGGTAACATTTATTTTTGTTTATATAATTGTTTTTATGGGTATATGTAAATAAATATTTGAAGGACTCGATAAAAAGGAATAAATAAACCTTTTAAAAGCTCCCTAGAGAATAAAAACAGTCACTCCAACAATTATCATTTATTTACAAACAAACAATATTTACAAAACATCACACAGGAAAATAGGGACAATAGGAATCACACAAGAAAACAGGGGGAAATTACATATAGATATACAATTATGAAGGGAGAATTTTTTTTCCTATATTATCACACATCTCGACGTCATCATCTTCCATCAACCGCTTACATGTTGTACTCGATTGGAAGGTTCTTGCGGCGAACCATACCGTCACCCTGGAACCACTCGCGGCGGAATTGCTTGGCTGCTCCTTCCGGGGTGTTGGTCCATTCGACGGTGACACGGTCGTTGTTGGTCGCTTCCGCAGCCGGATCGAAGGCGTCACAAGAGATGGCGATGTTGATGGCCTCCTTCGGGTCGAGAACACCGTTGGGCGGGTCCATGTTCAGGCGGCGAGGGTTGGTCGTCTTGAAGGCGAAGCCGATACGATGCCCACCAGAGTTGATGATCTGTAAAAGTGAAAAGAGAAATGTTTATTTTAGCAGTTATGTTGTATTAAAAATTTAAAAACTTCACCTTCATGTAGTAGGTGTGCTTGTCATCGAACGGCGCGTTGAAGATGACCTTCACAGCAGGAAGCGTTGTGATGTCGCCGGGTGGAACAGAAGCCATTGTTGTTGAGAACGGTTTGTTGTCGTTGTTTGTGTAGTTGAACAGAAAGCAGGTTGGGGAACTGGCGTACAACAAGGGTTTTTATAGTTCCTTTCTAACTCAATGATCCTGTTCCGCGAGCATAAAGGTATAAAAGAGCCAATAGAACGCCAGTCGGTATCAACCAGTTCTCTTCAACTTCAATTCCTGCTACAACAACAAACCGTTCTCAACAATGGCATCTGTTCCACCTGGCGACATCACGACTCTTCCTGCCGTGAAGGTCATCTTCAACGCGCCGTTCGATGACAAGCACACCTACTACATGAAGGTAAAATCTTTTGTACATACTTTATTGTAATCTAATCATCTAATGATTTTTCTTCACTATTACAGATCATCAACTCTGGTGGGCATCGTATCGGCTTCGCCTTCAAGACGACAAACCCTCGCCGCCTGAACATGGACCCGCCCAACGGTGTGCTCGACCCGAAGGAGGCCATCAACATCGCCATCTCTTGCGACGCCTTCGATCCGGCTGCGGAAGCGACCAACAACGACCGTGTCACCGTCGAATGGACCAACACCCCGGAAGGAGCAGCCAAGCAATTCCGCCGCGAGTGGTTCCAGGGTGACGGTATGGTTCGCCGCAAGAACCTTCCAATCGAGTACAACATGTAAGCGGTTGATGGAAGATGATGAAGCCCAAGTGTGATAATAATAGGAAAAACATTTCTCCCTTGATAATTGTATATCTATATGTAATTTCCCCCTGTTTTCTTGTGTGATTCTTATTGCCTATTTTCTTGTGTGATTGTTTGTATGTAAATATTGTTTGTTTGTAAATAAATTGGGTTTGAATGTGTTCTTGTTATTTTCTAAATTTAGTTTTATCATGTTTGCTTTATTAGGTACTAAGTAGGTCGAATTAATTAAATCCTCATTATTACTGAGAATCAAAATTTTAATTCCTATCTTATTGTTAGACTTAAGAATTTTCAACCTAAGTTATAATTGTGCCAAATTATTCTTCAAATTCATAATTTATTTTTCATTCGAAATATGTAGCTTAATGAAAATCAGTTGCAGAATAGTAATATTCTTCCTCTTTCTCTTGTTCTGGAGCAACTGGAGCCCCAGGAACGTGTTCACATAAAAATGTCTGTGGATTTGGACGGAAAGGAAAACAACAGCAACGGCAAACATTTATTAATTCATTTTCTGTTCCGTTTGTCTCTGTTGTTGCCAAACAGTTGTACCATTGAAGGTTTTGTATTTGCTCACGAAAGCCTGGTTCTACAGATGTTAAGTCTACCTTATTGGTTGGCCAAAGCCTAGAATTTAATTTTTGGAATTCCCTATTTATTTCCCTTTACCTGCATTCTTCATCACCAAAACCAATTAATTTATTATAATCAAGACGACAACTTTCATGTTGATCATACCCTTTTAGGCTTTTCTGTCCACAAATACGTTCTGACACATAAAATGGAATTACTGGTCTTCCTCCTTGAACGCTTTAATAAAAAAAGTTTTTTTTAATTCTTTAAGGAAAATTTTTTTAACTGAAAAGGGCTTGAATGACATTTTTTCTCTCCACCAAAACCACAACTTTGTTGATAGCTACACATTCCACAAGGGTTATTATCCAAAAGGAGACTGCGAAAATACTAAAAACATATTTTTTACTATTATTTTTTCCTTAACCTCAAAAAATGAATTTAATGCTGAAGCATATCTTCCACCTATAAAACGATAAAACCAGTGACTCTGACAAAGAGGACTAAGTTGTTCTAAATAAGAAGACTAAAAATAAAAATTAATTACGTATAAAGAATAATTTAAACGTTGTTGCCTGGATCCGGCCATCTGTTAAAAAATTTATAAATGTTAGAAATGAAGAAGATAAAGTATGGTAATCTTTGGCTTATTCCAACTCTCGTAATTTCCTTAACGGAATAATCCCTAACAGTCACCTTCCCTCGAGAATCAAATTTCGTTCGGATAATTAAAACATTTACATGCAACTTCCCCAAGAGGACCAAGAAGCACAATCCGACGAGCGACGAACATCCGAATAAATAGCAGCCAATTGCCCAACAACATTTAATTGGAGAGAAGAAAAATATAGATAAATAATAAATATTAATAAATTCATTTAAAATTGTTTTTAAGAAAATAACACCACGAATTGCACGAAAATATTGAAAAAAAGGAAAAAGGGGAAGAGAGAATTTGAAGGATTTAAAACTAAAAAGGGGGGATAAAAACAAATTTATCTACTTACAAAGATTTTTATTCACAACCAAAATATTTAATATAGAATAACTATTTAATAGCAAAATACATAAATATTATTAAGTGAATGGAATGAGAAGGGTCAATCCAGAAGATCAGATCCTTAAATCTTTTCATATAAATTAAGGTGCCTTTGAAAATAATTCTGAAACTTTTATTGAAGGAATTCCGCAAGAAATGATGAAATTTTATTTTCAGAAATTTCAAGGATCATCTACTCTTTTCCCTGTTTAGTGTTTTCCTCTCTATATTTCTCTAATTTACAATGTTCTTATAAGGAAAGGTTTTTTGATCTGCTGGTTGAAAGCAGTAAATTCAAGAAAAATAGGATAAGTGGAAGGAAAAATATTGGAATGCAAAATGAGATGAAAATAAAAAATATTCGTTATGTATTTTAATATAAGGAGGCACTTCTTTATTTCTCTCTACTATTCCTCTAAATATTAACAACGTATCACCCAATTATTACTATTATTTTTATTATATTCATCATAAAAAATAGCTGAAGGTTTTGATTTTCCAATTTTCTTTTTAGTATTTAAATTTACATTATTTTTATTATCATTGTTGTAAGTAGATTGATGTAAATTGTTGTTGGTAGAATTACTAAAACCTGCCGAATAATTTTGGTGGATTTGGTGGTGGGGCTGAGAAGAAGGTGTTAAATCTGAAAAAAGGAATTGTAGTTTTTGTAAAGGATTTTCTTGGTTCGAGTAACAGGAAAGTAAATTATTTAAGAGAATTTATTTCAAAGAATATCCAACAATGGAACAGAAAAAGTACTAAAGTTAATATTATAAGTTTGTTCATTGGATGGTAGATCGAATAGAATCATGATAAATGAGACCAGACAACCGAAACACACTTATCCAACCCGATTCTTTCTGCAACAAAAAAATAAAATTTTTCCTCGATTTGATTCTTTTACCAGTGTCAGATATTCCCGATGTGAAAGTATAACATACCCCTTATGTTTCCCCCAAAATTAATTTTTATAAAATTATTTACGAGTTGTAATAGTCAATGGAAACATTTGGCGGCGAGGATGTATTTGTTGGTGCCTCAGCAAATTGTTTCCGCCTTGTCGCCAATGGGGCACTTCTACGGGCCCATGCCCATGTAATTGGCTGTTGAAGGAAGGATGGGGACATCTATTTTGTTTGAAATTTAAACAAAATTAAATAATTAAAAAAACTAAATGAAAGAATAAAAAGAAAAGAAAAAACGAACAAAAAACAAATAAAATACCGAAAAGATTGGGTCCAAGGTAAAATGCCGGGAGGAGCAATTGATGAAGGAAGTGGAGAACGTGGACGATGATTAGTGCAATTCTGAAACAAACAGGGCCGGTATTAAATTTAAAAAAAATATGGGGAAAGATCCTAAAAGAAAATTTTTTGTATATGATACAAGTCCAATAAAGGACTAATATATCCTAGTCATTAATAGACCAAAAGAATGCCTTCGAGGCTTTCTTATTATAAAAAATATTTAATACCGGCCAAAAAAAATTTTAAGACAAAAGACTAAAAGAGAGTGCTTTTGACAGACATTTAAATAAACAAAAAGCAGAATAAAGTGCTAAAAAATTAAATATCGACCTGATTAAAGCTATGCGGAATTGGAGGTGGAGGAAAACATTGAGGCCAAAATCCGTATGCTGAATATGGTGGTGATGTTGTTGGAGAGTGGAAGTATAGGGGTGGAGGGGGTTGTTGTTGTTTATATTGTTGTTGTTGATGGTGGGGAATTGTTTTAGGTCTAAAAAGGAAGAATTTGTTTAAAACTTTTCAATATTCATCTCAACTTGTTAAATCTAATAGATATATTTAGAAAAATACCAAAGATGAGGGCCAAAATAAATTAAATTTTCAAAGGAAAAAATATACTCGATTAATTTTACTACATTTCTGATCTGAGTAAATAGGAAAACTATAAATAAAATATCAAAAAGAGGAAAATCTAATTAGATTCATAAAGTCATAATGAATAAAAAAATTTAAATACAAAATAATTATTTTTTTTTAAAAATTCCTTACTTATTTTTATTTGGTGAATCTTCTTTACAACTATGAGTTCTAGAAAAAAGTTTAAAAAGTCCACTTCCAAGAGATCCCCTCCTTTTTCCATTTTCATTATTTTTTTGTTGAGGTTTTGGAGTAGAAAGGGAATCTGGTTGTGATTTACTACTTGAAAGGGCTGAAGAAGGAAATTTTCTTTGTGGGGAATAACTGCCTGGACAAACAATTTTTGATTGATTTTTTGGTGATGGAAGGGTTTGGGATTCTGAAAAAGAAATTAAAAGATTAAAAATAATTTTTTTATTCACCATATTTTGTAGTAAAACAATCACCGTCATAGAAAGTTGTTCTTGGACGACTTTTTCTAGAGCGGGGTTCTTCAGGACTGCTAATATTTAAAGGTTCATGCAATGAACGACGAGAACGAAATACTGAACTGACTGCTGGAGCTAAATTTAAAATAAAATTTGGAATTCTGGGGCGGTATGAAAAATTGAAAGAAATGTTCTCTGAAAATTGTAAATTTTTAAATAAATATTTCTAAAGTACATCTAATTAAAAGTAAACTAATCCAGGAAATTTATGTCTAATTTAAATTTATTTTCCTCTCAAATAATTAAAAAAATTCACCACTAGTTTGTCTTTGATGCAAAATTCTTCGATAAGTTCGTAAATGTGAAGGGTCGTTGTGCTGACCCAAAGGGCGTTTTTCACTAATTGATCTTTTTTAAAATTAATTAAAAATTTAAAATAAAATACAAAAAAACCTTCTAGTAACAGAATCCCTCACAAATTGTTCTTTTTGGCTTAATTCAGAATCACTTCCCCAACGGCTCTGATGTTGTTGGTGTTTTAATTTTTCATTTAAATTTCCTTCTCCCTTCTCTTCCTCTTCTTTAATTCTTGCAATAAATAATAAAACTGTCTTTTTATTTGTTGGTATTTGTGATAATGTTCCCATAAATGCATCCAAAGCCTCTCCATTTAAAGAATAATTTAATAAATTAACTTCTTCAATTCCAATTAAACGATCATTTACTTTTAATCTTCCATCTTTGTAAGCAGCTGATCCATGTAAAATCTTTAAAGAAAAAAATTTTTTGAGAGAATTATTAAGATAGAAAAGAATACTTTTTAATTTTTACCAATTTTGTTTTGACAATTTTAGACGTGAAAGGAATCTATATTTATTTTTATTTTTTTTCTTAATTTCCATTAAACTTTTAGACTTCTTTCATTTTTAAATTTATTTGAGATAATTTAAGGAGTTTATCTTTAATTGGACTTCAAGTTCAAGTTAAGGTTTATTAAATTAATTAAAATATGAATATCAATGCTAGATTGTTATTTTTAATAAAAAATTTTCAACAAGGGCTAAAGAATTTTTTTGTTAAAGCTAAAAGAATTTTCAAGTATATTTTTAATTTCTATTTTTTCTAAACAAAAAATTAAAAAAAACTTACACTTCTAACATACAAACCCAAATCATTACAACCCATTCTTTGTGCCTTAACAGAAATACCTAAACCAGCACCAGGCGTTTCATTTAAAGGAATTAACATTTGAATAATTTTCAAAAATGTTTCCCCAATTAATTGTTGTTTTAACTCTTCAAAAAGATTTTTTGAAAATTTTTCTTTTAAATTTTCTTTTTCTTCATTTTGCTGTTGTTGTTGTTTTTCTTCTGTTTGGCTACTAATTATTAAACTAATTGTTTCTCCAATTGGAATTTTCTTTAAAAGTGAAGTTACTTGGGATTGAGTTAAATTAGACAAATCTATTCCGTTTATCTAAAAAAAAATTAAAAATTTTTTAATTGAAATTTGGATATTAAATAGATTAATTTGGAATTTAAATAATTAGTTCTAGAAAATAAATATTTTTAGACCGATTAAAAAATTAAAAACCTGTAAAATTCTGTCCCCCAAAGTCAAATCCAAATTTTTCCTTAAACCTTTAACATAATATAAATGTTGTTCAGAAGCATTTAATCTCCCAGCATAGCTAAATCCAAAACCATCTTCCCCTTAAAAAACATTTCAATTCTAAATTAATTTTTAAAGAAAACCTTTAGTTAATTTAATTTCTTTACAAAAACCAATTAAAGAAGTATTTTCTCCTTTTTTTAATTTAAATTGTTCAAGTTGTGGACTATTATTATTTAATTTTTTTGAATTAATTCGGCGAAAGAAGGAAAGGGAAGGTTCTGGAATTGATTGAAGATCTCGAAGATGAAGACGTGCTCGGGCAAAGGAAATCTTTAAAAAAATGAGTATTTACAAAATTATTTGAGCAAAAATAAAGCTTGTAATTAATTGAAATATTTTAGTTAAGCAAGTTTTGTTTAACTTTATGAAAAGAAAAAAGAATTTCCCGTCGAATGATGATTCCAAAAAATATAATCAAAATTATCTCAATTTAATCAAAAAAGTTTTACAAAAATATTCTCAATAAAAAGAGCTATAAAGAAGGATATGATAATTTAAAAATTTTCTGACAAGTATCAGATATAGAAAAATAATAAATTTTTTATTCTTTAATAAAAATAACCTGATCACAAGGAGTTCCATTAATATTAACAATTTGGTCACAAACTCGAAGTTGACCATCTTCAGCTATCCTTCCTCTTTGCTCAATTTTTCTAACCTCAACGGCCAATAAATGACTTGGACGTTGAGGATTAGGAACAGCAGAGATCTGAAATTGAAAAAATTATTTTAGGAAAGCCAAAAAAAAAATTGGTAGAAAAAAGGTAGGAAAAAAATAAATTATTTAATTACCTCCAATCCCATTGACAAATCTTTAGTTTCTGGTGAGAGAACAATTTTCTAAAAAAAAAACAAAATTTCCAATTTAATTAAAAACAAAAGAAAAACCTGAAATCGATAATTTGAGGGATCAACATGTAAAAAAGAAGACCATTTCTTCAATTCGTTCTGTTCCAAATCTATTTTTTCTTTAGCATCCAAAAAGTTATCTCCAATTCTCGATTTTCTAGAATTATTTTGTCGCCAATTTTCTTCTTGGAATGATTTATCTGGATCTGAATTGAGTGAGGGGTTTTAATAAAAAATAATTTTAAAAATCTTTTAAAATAAAGAAAAATAAAACAACTGGCCCTATCTGAATAAGAGGGCGGTTTGATTTTTTCATCATTTTTTTCCTACCTTAAATTATAAATTATGCTCAGTTTTTTCTTCCTCGTTCGATTCCACTTTTTACCTGTGGCATATTCAAATGGGATGACAGACAAAAACACGGACGAACACAGACGGACAAAACACGGACGGACTCGGACAGACAATACACGGACGGACACTGTCTGTGCTCGTCCGTTTTGTCTGTCTGTGCTCATCCGTGTTTTGTCTGTCTGTGCTCATCCGTTTTGCTCGTCCGTGTTTTGTCTGTCTGTGTTCGTCCGTTTTGTCTGTCCGTGTTCGTCCGTTTTGTCTGTCCGTGTTCGTCCGTTTTGTCTGTCCGTGATTTTCTGTCGGTGAGTGTATTTTTCAGTCCTCTCATTTGAATATGCCAAGGTAAAAAGAGTGGAATTGAACGAGGAAGAAAAGACTGACCATTATTTATATATTAAGGAAGGAAAAAAATGATGAAAAAATTCAAACCGCCCTCTTTTTCAGATAGGGTCAAACAACTTGTGTCGAAAAAAATTTTTAGAAAACTATTCCAAATTAAAACTACTTAGTGTTAATAATTTCATAAAAAGAATAGGGATTAGACATAAAATAGAGTAATTTGGATTCAAAAATGATTTAAAATTAATTTTGCTTTTTAAGTAATTAGAGAATTAATTTTATTAAACTGTCCAAAAATCTTTGTAAAAATTGTTTTTAAAGTAAATTAAACGCCAAACCTTTTTTCTGCGTTGGGGCAAAATGTACAGACATAGCCTCTCCACTTTGGTGTTTTCTTAAATTTTTCTCAGAATGTGGCTTTGATAAATTTGAAAATTTGGTTTCAGAATGTTGTACTTGAAGACCAATACCTACAAAATAATTAAATATAAAATGATGGGAATATTTTTTAAAAAATAAAAAAAACTAAAAAAGCTGGGCAAACAAATAATTTGGAGGGAAAAATAAAAAAAACATTTTAGTTACAAATGAAAACTGGAAAAATTTAAAAAAAATGAATTATTTAAAAATATAAAATAAATTACTACTAGGGGGCATATCCAATGATTTTACATCAATAAAAGGGCTTCTATCATTTTTGTTTCTCTGTTGATTTGAAATTTTGTGATTCGAAGCAATTTCAAGTTTTAGCGGCTTTTTTGTTCTTTCTTCAGGTAATGATGTGGAAACAATTGTTGTGTTGACATTAGTTGATTTAAATGATGCTGGTGGAGGAGGGTCATCATAAATAGCTAATATCTTTTTTAAAAAAAAAGAAATTATTTTTAAATAAAAATTAAAAAAAACTAACCGTCACAAAATCTTGTTTTGATGGAGAATGAGTAAAAGACATTTATTTTAATTAATTTATAAAGTTAATTAATCATCTACATAACAATCTTAGGTACTACTGAAGAAAAGGGTGCTTTTTCTGCGGACTTATTTTGCGGACTTTTCCTTTCCTTTACATGTTTTACTTGTAGCAACTAACTGTCAACGGCCCTCCCCCCATTATTTTTCTTACCTAAGATTGTACACAATGGTCAGATTTTCTTCTTTCTCTTTTCCTCTATTTGCCGTGTGGCATATTCAAACAAAAGATATTGATACAGAGAAGATGAATTTTATTTTTTTCATTTCTGTTTAAATGTTTTGCTTATAGCAACTAACAGTCAACGGATTATTTTTTATGCCGGTCTGAAAAATGTCGTTCACAAATAATTTAAACATTATAAACGAAAAAAATGTTACAATCAATAAAAAATTTTACTTTAACTAAATTGTATGATAAAATTAAATTACCCAATGATGAATTTCAACAATGGATCACTGATCTCGGAATGCTTCATAGAAAAAGAACATGTAATTGTGGAAAAGAAATGCGTAAAGAAAAGCGTGGACAAAATGGAAGATGGATATGTAAGAAATCAGTATGCAGTATCCTATGGCAAAAATTGAAAAGACGACATAAAACTGAATTTGGTACTGCTGAAACAATGTTTGAAAGTTATATGAATGAGTTTGTATGGAAACAGAAATTTGGAGGAGATGACTGTTTTTTTCATTTAATTTCACAAATAACAAATAATCAAAAATATTTGTGCGAATAAAAATTAATCCTTTGACAGTTAGTTTGCTACAAGCTAAAACATTATCTTTTAAAAAAAAGGGAAAAAGAAGGAAAGGAAAAGTCCGCAAAATAAGTCCGCAGAAAAAGCACCCTTTTCTTCAGTAGTACCCAATCTTAAAAATAAAAGAAAAAAATAAAAAACAGCTGTCATTAATTCTACAAAATTTTTAAAATAACGCGTAAATTCTTTAATTTTTGTTTTTTTCTCTAATTACTCTCTCTATTTTCTACACTCTTTTTTCTTTTCTTTTCTTTTCTTTAGAAATAAATCCATTAAATCGCGAGTATTTTTAAAAAATTTTTTTGATTATTTTTGTGTTACTAATTTCAAATAATTTCAGATTAAAAAATTATGCCGAGAGAAGAAAACAAAGAAATTGAAGAAGAAAGGTAAATTAATACACAAATATTTTAAATTAATTTTTTTCTCTTTTTCTTTTACAGGCGAGCCAAAAATGCTTACGATTTAATTCGGATTCGATTAAATAGACTTGAAAAAAATATTGTAATTAATTCTAAACACATTCTTTTAAATTTTCTTTTTTAAAAAGGACAAACCAATAATAATTCCTCAACGGAAAGATGACCCAAAACCAAAACCTCCCCCAGAATTTGTTCGAAATGTTGTTGGCTCTTCAGCAGCGGCGGGGAGTGCAGAATTTCATATTTTTCGAAATAATAAAAGAAGAGAACAAGAAAGGCTTGAACATATTCAAAAACAAGCTTTAAAAGAAGATTTGGACAAAGAATTTGAAGAAAGAAAAATGGCAAGAAAAGAAGCTGAAGAGTTAAAAACTGCTAGGAAAAGGGAAAAAAGGCAAAGACAAAAAGAGCGTAAAAAGGCTAAAAAATTTGTAAAAAAAATTTTTTGAAAATAAAAAAAAAATAATTTTTAAGAAAAAAGATGGAGGAGGAAAGAATTGTTCTTCGTCTTCAGAAAGTTCTGATTCAGAAGAAGAAAGTATTTATGAGGAAGGGAATAAAGGAATTGAAGAGGGTGATAAAGAAGAATAAAATTAGATGTAAATTTGTTATTCACGCAATGGTTGATCGCCTCCTTCCTTTTAAAAAAGGGCCAAATAAGCGCCCAGTCTTTGAAATATTTTGATTTTAAATATTGACTTACAAAATTGTGTATTTTTGAGGATCTTTAAAAAAATTTACTTTCCCCTAAAAAATTGGACTTTCAGCCTTGAGATCAAGAATTTCGCTGGCTATTTTCTTTGAATTTCTTTAAGGAAAATTTATTCAAAAATTGGTTTCTTCTATTGACCTTCTGGTTCAAAACCCAGGAGGTCAAGACCTACATAATTTTTGATTCACAAAAATCTTTTAAATTATTTTTAATTTGTTTAAAACGTGTCACGACACTTGCAGATATGACATTTGCAGACCCGACACTTGCAGACCCGACTTTTGCAGACCCGACGTTTGCAGATACCGACACTTGCAGATATGACACATGCAGATCAGACATTTGCAGATCCGACTTTTGCAGATTAGACCCATTTCGCTCTCTTCTTTACCTTACCTATACACCGTGGAGTGTTTGCTGTTGAGAGGAATCCTGGGATGCCCATCTCATCGATGATAAGAATAGGATCATGTTACGAGCCCAGAGCCCAGCGACCGTTGACTCCCCGCGAGGGAGTCAACGGTCAAAACTCCGCGCGAAGCGCGGGGTTTTGCACAAGCGCCTCGCCGACGCTCCATAGGTCTACGTTGAACATTTTGATCTCCGGAAAAAAGAGTGGTGCCGTTCGACTCAGCTCGTCGAGACGAATTGGTATGGGTCTTATATCAAAACCTTTCCACCGGTATACTATATCCTTTGATTTTTTAAGATTTTTAAATTTTTTTAAAAATTTTTTTTCAAAAATTAATATCTGCAAAAGTCGGATCTGCAAATGTCTGATCTGCAAGTGTCATATCTGCAAGTGTCGGTATCTGCAAATGTCGATCTGCAAAAGTCGTCTGCAAATGTCGGGTCTGCAAATGTCATATCTGCAAGTGTCGTATGACCGTTTAAAAAAGTATTTTTTTGTTTTTAGTAAATATTTATCTTTGTTTTTAAAAATTAGTTTGAGGATGTTTTTGTCATTATTGTTGAGTCAATAAAAATTTTGGAGTGACTCAACGTTTTAACAAAAATTCAAATCTTTTAATTTTTGTAAAAAAAATTAAAAATTTCCCTGAATTCTTTGTTATATATTATGTAATGATTGTTATAGGTATTTTCTTAAAATCCATGATAAAAAGTACAAATATTATTAGTTATGTAATATTTAGTTCTGGAAGTTACTTCTCTACTCTTTGTTTTATAGTAATTGATTGGAGTGACTAATAAGTAATTGTTTTGTTTGTTTGGCATTATGTTTAAAATTATTGTTTAGCATAAAAACAGATTCCAAGAAATTCTCGTCTTGTTTGCATCTTTTTACGACATTTTTATTTTAGTGTGATTCTCCTTAACTTTAAATTTTATTCTGCCCTAACCGGATATCTGTAGAACAATCTGGCACTTTACAACTATCTAATCCCGCGATTAAACGTGCCACTTTGTTTTAACTTGCGTTTATTCAGCCGTCTCTTATGGGCTGTTTTTTGTTTCAATTTTCTCTAAATTTTGTTTTATGGGTTTTTAAACGATCTTTTATTTAAACATTATAAAATTTTATTCTTCAAAAATGAAGAATTCTTAAACTATTGTAGCGTCGATTCTTTCATTGATTTTAGAGTTAGACAGTCACTTGACAAAAATTCAATTCGAATTGTCTATTAGACATTGACATTGCTTCCTGATTTTTAATTCCTTATTATTAAATTTAGTATTAGATTTTGATTAACTCCTCTATTTTCCCCCTTTCTCCAACTAACAAACATGATTATTGAATTTGTTGGGAGTTTAGTGAAGGGGTAAAATTATGTGATTTCATATGTATAACTACTTGGATAAGATTCGTATTTTTGGGGATATTGTTGTTTATTTAAAGGAGTAAAAAACTTTGAATTTTCTTGCTTTCATTCTTAAATTCATTTACTCAAAAAATTAGCATATGAAATAACATTCTACATACTGTTTAGATATTTAAAGTGGGCCTGTACTTTTCATTGCATAGGCAATATTTCTAAGCTTCTTTTTATCTAAATTTTTTCAAGAAAATTAAACTTCATGTCCATGATTTTTTTAAAAATCTTTTTCCTTTATTTGGGCAAATTTTAAATTTATTTTTTTTGTTTGCGTTTAATCTTTAAGCTTTTAAAATTTTTATATTTTTGTGGTGTTTATAACTTCTCACTATTTTGTTATTGATTTTGGGGGGACTTGACGTTAATTTCGGCAATCCCGGAGAATTGGGGTCCCTGCGAAAAAAAAGTTTAAAAATAAGAAAAAGGATTTTTCTAGGGTAAAAAAATATGCTGATTACGAATCCGAGTTCAGATTTCGGAAAAGTCGAATCCCGAACCCGAATTCGGACTTTTGATCCCGAACAGGACTTTTGACCCCGAACATTATCAGACATTGTACAAAATGGCCAGTCTTTCAATAGAATCATAGAACTCATTGAGCTGCATCGAATGACACCAAAATCAATGAAATCCGACCAGATTGAACCGAGATACAGACCCCTAAATATTGTAAACCACATGGGTGATTTTTTGGAGTAAAAAAAAGTTTTTACAAATGATAGCTCATTCGAAAGAGCTCGTCGAGCTGAATCGAATGACACCAAAATTACAGTGATTGATCAAGTTTTGACAAAGTTATGACATAAGTCGCCGACTCCTACAGTACTTCCATAAGTATACTTTATGTCATAACTTTGTTTAAACAGGTTCAATCACGTTGATTTTGGTGTCAATCGATTCAGCTCGACGAGCTCTTTCGAACGAGCTATCATTCGCATATTCGAAATTCGGGTTCAGGGTTCGAAATTTGGTTCGGGTTCGGGATTCGACTTTTCCAAAATCTGAGCTCGGATTCGTAATCAGCATATTTTTTTACCATAGAAAAATCCTTTTTCTTATTTTTAAACTTTTTTTTCGCAGGGACCCCAATTCTCCGGGATTGCCTTAATTTCTAATCCAGAAATTTTTTTTCAGGAAATACTCTTTTTAAGGATTTTTTAACTTTAAAACAATTTTATGAGCGAAAAACACCCAGTCAACTCGTCGGTCACTTTTGCTAAGGTTGTTTCTGGTGGTAATATTCCTAATGAAGACCAACAACCTTTATTGGGAAAAGAAGCAAATAATTCGTCAGAATCAGCTACGGAAAATGAAGTCAAATCACCAGATGATTGGCCTTCTCTAAATGTTGTTGCACAACAGAAATGTGAAGAAAATAAACCGAGCAATAAGTCAACTGTCAAAAAAGCCGTAAATAATTTTAAGGACAAAATACAGGAGACGACCGGCGAGGAGACGGTGAACAAAGTATTTTTTTTCTAAATTAATTTTTGGGGGGGGGGGGGGGGAAGAACAGTTTGGGTTTTGTTATGTTTATTTTAATTTTGGGATACTTGGGTGGATGATATAGTCTTTCGTTATAAAGGTATCATTCTATAGGGGTTATTTTTCAATTTATTTACCAAGCAGACATGTTTTAAAAAATCGGAAGGTTTTTTGTTTAATAAAGTCAATGGAATCAAACATAATGTTTGGACAAGATTTTGTCTGATTTCCAAACTATTTCCAAACTATTAGCATTATTTTGGAAAATTTTATTTTAAAATTTTAATAATTAAATTTAGGCTGAAGAAGTTTCTGCACTTTCACCATCAGCAACAATTAATAGTCCGGCTGGAGGAAGCAAAAAAGTGTCTAAAAATAGTTGGAAAAAATTGGATATAGAAGTAGATTATAATACAGCTCGTGAAGTTTTAACTAAAAGGCGTGAAATGAGAAGGGAATTTGAAAGACGTGAAAGACCTCAACGAAGGAATACAGTTTGTGGACGTGATTTGAAGGAAGGAAGAGGAGGAAGTGGTGGTGGAGGAGGAGGAGGAAATTTTGTTGGGGGTGGTGGTGGAAGTGGAAGAGATGGAAGGGGAGGAGATGTTGGAAGAGAAAATAATAATAATTGCTCTGAACCTGTTCGGACAACAACAAATTTTGGTTTTAGACAAAATAATAGAGCTTTTAAAGACAACAAATTTAATAATAATAATTATAATAATAATCATCATCGTCGACAAATATCTAAAGAAGGCAATAAAAATGTTGTTGTTGTTGAGGGAGGTGGAGGAGGAGGAAAAAATGAAGAAAAGAATAATAGAGAAGATGTTCAGAAAAGTCCACCAACGAATAATGCTGCTCAAAATAACAATAATAACGAGCAATCTCAGGATCAGTCTTATTGGTATTTTTTAATTTAATTTTTTGGAATTAACAAAAATGGGTTGATTTTTCATTTTTCGATCTCCCTCTTATATTTTGTTAAGCCTTTTTGGATAAGATTGGCATTACCATTCAGGCTTCAGTTCCCTCCCTATCGGAAAGAAAATTTTTTTCAAGTTTTTAAATAGAAAATTTTTAAAATATTTTTTTACATTTAGCTAATTTTTAAGGTTCAATAATATCTTTTTGTTAGTTAACATATCCATTAATATATTTTTTAGGCCATTACATTTTTTAAAATATTCGTGTCACCATATAGTACATATAACATTTATTATATGTAAAGTTATAAAAATATTAGTCATTTTAATTAAAAATATTTTTATGGAAATTTTTTTTAAGAAAATGTCCTTACTAAAATACTTTTTTAAACAAAAATTGTTTACATTACTTTACAAAAAAATTTCAAAAAAAAATGAGTGGAGGAAATAGAAATTTTTATTAAAATAATTTAATATAATTTTTAGGTATTTTGATGATATTTCAAATGGATATTACTACCAACATTCTGGATCACAGGGTTGGAAGAAAAACTCCAAAGACAAGAGACAACAATCGAATAATAATACTTATAGACCACAACGACAATTTTCGCCTAATCATGGAAGATATTCATCAAATAGGTTTTTAAATGTTTTTATTTTAATAAAAGTATTGAGGAAGGGGGTTCTCGATAATTATTTTTAGTTTAGTTATTTCACCTTAAACTTTAGAAATTTAGATCTGTCAAAATTTTAACTAACTTTTATTTTTAGGCAAAAATTTTTTAAAAATTCCGCGTCAACACAGACCGAGCAAACAAATAATGTGGCTGGAATGGTTATTTTTATTCCTGTTATTTTTTAATTAAAAAATATTTTTTAGAATAATTCGCAAGGAGGGCATCGTTCTGTTGGTGGATATCAATCAAAATCTCATCATCATCATCATGGTGGCGGTGGAGGAGGGCCTCGTCATGTTGGTCCAAATAATGCTTATAAATATAACAATAATAATAAACGAATGGATGAACAGCTTTTCTCAAATTCGTATTTTTGCTCAAACAATAATAATTGTATTAATCATCATTGGACAACTTCATCTCTTCAGCAATTGAATATTTCGGTATTTAAATAATATTTTAAAGTAATTTATGAGAAAATTAACTTTATTGAGGATTAAAAGTAGATGGAAGGCCTAGGGTTTTTCTGTCTTTTCCAACATATTTAGGAAATTTTTTTCTTATTCCCTTTTGATTCTGTAAAAGAATGAGGATCGTAGGTAGTGAAGTAAATGTAAATTCTCGCTCATCCTTTTTTTAATTCAATACAACGTTAATAAAAGCATAGTTGAAAAGATATAAGTGAGGGGTTACATTTCCTTACGCCTTCTAATTTCTTTTTTGGGGATAGATGATCAGATAATAGGATTAAACTAATAAAATCATTAAATTAATCCATTTAAATTTATCAAATTAATATTTTTTTATTTAAAAAAGGGTATCTCACCGACCGTTGTTTCAGCCACTGCTGTGCCTTCTGCGCCTTCTACTTCGCTTCTTTCACCTAATGGACTCATCCCATTTCCTCTTGTTGTTGCTAATACTCTTCAAACTGCTGCTGTGGTTGTTGCTACAACGGATCAAGTGCCTACAACAGCTACTACACAATTTACTCCGACAATTATTGCAACACAATTTCCTCAAAATACAATTTTTATGGCGCCAATAACAACGCCTTATGTGCCAGCATTAGAAGAATTTAAACTTGGAGAGCTTGTACGCGGACAAATGTAAATTTTATTTAAAAATTGATATTTTTAATTAAATTTATTTTTTTCAGTGAATATTATTTCTCAGCTGATAATCTACAAAAAGACTTCTTTTTACGAAGAAAGATGGATGCTGAAGGCTTTTTGCCACTTAGTCTAATTGCTAGTTTTCCGCGTATTCGTTCACTCACTGACGATGTGTCATTTATTTTGAGCTGTCTTCGTGGAAGTGAAGGGATTGAATTTAGTGCTGATGAGCTTAAAGTAAGAAATTTTGGGGGTGAATTTAATTATAAATAGAGGACATTTGGATATTTTGGGGGTAAATTCAAATGAGGGTCTCAATGGAGGAGAGTAATCGGAGGTAGTTTTTGTGTGGGATTAAGAGATTTGGGGGTAGATAGCCATCCTTTTGTTATTTAGTTTATCTATTCCTTTATAAAAATTATTCTTTTTTCAAGATTCGTCCTCGTATTAATCCACTTTATTGGCCTCTACACGAATCTAGTCCCCAATCTGGAACGGAAACACCACTGCCGGCAGCAATAAGTGACGATGACGGAAATAAATGAGAAGTTTTAAAAGAGGGATATATAATAACTATTTTTTATTATTTTTTCTCTCTATCTCTCTAATAGCCAAGCGACTTATTTTTTGTCTGACGTATTCATAGAATGGGCGCAAGAAAATCCAAGAGAATTTCTATATAATTTTTTTTAAATTGCCCAAAAATTCATTTAATATATAAAAAGCCATCTTTCATTTTCTCTAAAAAACCCATTTTTTCTAAAAAATCTAAAACCCCCCAATTTTCTTCCAAATTTTTTTTCTTGGTGCGCCTTTGCTATGGAACACACAAAATTGATTATTTCTTAATTTTAATGTTTCTTTAATAATTAAGGGGCGTAGTATGGGAGGAGAAGGATTTTGTGGTGCTCCAACAAAAATGTTTCCAAAAAATTCCTTTATATCTTTTAAAAACCCTCTATCAAAATCTCCCCCATTTTTAAACTACGCCCTTTATATTCATGTCTTCAATTTATTTTTGGTGAGCGGAAAATTAGCGCTCCTTTCGTTTACATCACCCCGCTGTGACACTCGATTGTTTTAATGCTGATTTATTTTAAATACAATATTATAAAACGGGCGCAGAATTGTAAAAAATATTAAAGAACAAGCTTTTTTGTAGTATCTTTACTGTCTAGATGCAGCAATTATCGCATTTAATTTTCTTCTAGCATCACTTCCTTCTGGGAATGAATTAACATCATAATATTGAGGGGCAATTTGAATCTAAAATTATTTTTTGAAAAACTGTGGAAAAATATTTCGTTTCTTACCAGCCATTCTGGACGAACATCGGTGACAGTTCGAATATAATTTTTGGTTGTAAGAACAAATTCATTATATAAAGCCCATTCTGGTTTGTGATCAAGAACAGAAGATGGGTGTAAATTAACTATTTGATTATCTTTAATTGTTACATAATGTCCACTTCTCTCCAAATGGGCAACCTTTTTTAAAAAAAGATTTTCAAAGAAAAATATTAGAAAAAAACCTGCATAAAGAATCCAGCAACAAGAGCCTTTCTTATATTTATGTAATAATCTCTTGAATTAAAATCAGCAGAAACACGCTAAAAATGGAAAATTAATTGTCTTTAAGAGTTGAAAACTAATTTTTAATAATGAATGAACATGGAAAGAAAAGGGAAACAATTTTAGTTTGCTTTTCCTTCCCATCCTTAATTTCCCAATTAAATAACTTTTACTTAAAAATTCTAAACTATTCTCATACCTTCAAATTAAATTTATCCATAATTCTCGCTAGTTGAGTTCTCACATCATCAGCATTTTTTAATGAACGGTAATTAATAAAGTTTTGATAACACCATTGGGGATCATCTCGATCTAAAAAAATATTCAAAAAATAATTTAAAAATATATAGGTACTTTGTTTAAATGCGTGATAAACATTAAGAAGTGTTAAATGATCTCCATCGATATGTGCAAATCTTGCTTTAGCCTCATCCGCTTGTTTTTTAATTTCATTTGGACGAACAAAACATTGGGGAACAGAAAGCATAGCTTCAAAAATTAATTTTTAGAAATTCTGAAAAAATAAATAAAACCTGTAATACTCAAAATTTCATTAGAACAATTTAAATCGGTAGAAGCTATAAGCATTTTTGCCATTTGAGGATCCAAAGGAAATTCAGCCATTAATGAACCAAGTTGTGTTAATTCACCATTATCTTTAAAAAAATTTTTTTATTTAAAAATTCATTAATTTCTAACATGAAGGGTTGTCGGCTTATACAAAAATCTTCGGTTAAAAGAATCGATAACTCAAACTAAAATCGATTTTTCTGTTTTCTAGTATTTTATGTTCGGTCCGAAAAGTTAGGATACGCAAATTAAAATTTGCAGTTCTTATGCCCCTTTAATTTCAAAAATTTAATTATCATTTAAAAGTTATTGTTAACTCCCCAATTTAAATTTTTTTTTATATTTTTTATTTAATATATTTCATACTCCCTATTAAATTGTGGCAGTTTAGAAGGATCCTAATAAATTTAAATCAACAAAATATCAAAAATTTACCATCAATCGCTACCAAATAATTTAATAATTCTAGAGCCCTCATAAGCGTTTCAGGCGCTGGCGGATCCATAAAATCAAAATGTACAAGATCATCTATTCCCAATTTTTTTAATTGCAAAACAACAGAAGCAAGATTAGAACGAAGAATCTTTTTTTTGTAAATTTTATTTAAAATTTAAACAAAAAAAAACCTCCGGATAAGTTTGTTCTTGCATATCAGTTTTATAGGCTTTTTCTGTATATAATCGAAAACATTTTCCTGGTTTTGTCCTTCCAGCTCTTCCAGCCCTTTGCATTGCTGAAGCTTTAGAAATGGGACAAACTAGGAGGCTCTAAAATTTTTATAAAATTTAATAATCATAATTTTCAAACCTCAACACGAATTCTTGGATTATAAACTTTTTGTTTAGAAAAACCAGGATCAATTACAAAAACAACACCATCAATAGTTAAAGAAGTTTCAGCAATGTTGGTGGATACAACACATTTACGACCTTAAAAATTAAAGAGAGTATAGAATAACAGGAGAAAGGCTCTCCTGTTATTAGCTACAAGACAGTAAATAACAGGAGTCAAAATTCAACAAAAAAACTTACTTATTCCTCCAGATGGTCTATTCGGAGGTGGAGGATCGAAAATTCGTTGTTGCATATTTGGAGGAAGTGTTGAATATAAAGGGATACAAACTAAATCACCAGCTTCAGGACCAAGATTTTGAACTTCTTTTCTAATTCGTTTACACGCATCTTCAATTTCCTCAAAACAAAAAATTTATCTTGTTATTCTCTTAAACAAATTTCCCAAACCTCCTGTCCAGTAAGAAAAAGTAAAATATCTCCTTGAACTTCTTCACAAATATGAATTTGTATTACAGTCCGGACAGCTGCTTCTAAATAATCCCTTTCTGGTTCAGGAGTATACTAAAAAATGAAATTTTTTGAATAAAATTATTTAAAATACAAATATTTCAACAGGAAAAGTTCGTCCAGGAACAGAAAGAAGAGGACAATTATCAAAATAATTTTGAAATTTTCCAGCATCCAAAGTAGCACTCATAACAACAATTTTTAAATCTTTACGTTGTTTTGTAATTTCCTAAAATTAAAATATAAAATCGAATATATCTATCCTTTACAATACAAAAAAACCTTAATTAAACCCATAAGAATATCCGTGGCAAGCGTCCTTTCGTGAGCCTCATCGAGCAGAATGACTTCATATTGTTCAAGCAAAGGATTATTCATCGCCTCTCTCAAAAGCATACCATCTGTACAATATTTGAGAATTGTTCGGTCACTAACACAATCTTCAAAACGGATAGAATATCCAACTTCTTGACCAAGCTGTTAAAAGAAAATGGTCAGAGGAAAGAAGACAGGAATAACAAAAGGAGTATCTCTCTCAGAAGAAAATCAAAATTTAAAAGAAAAACAAAACCTGAACATCTAATTCATCAGCAACACGGTTAGCAACACTCATTGCCGCCACACGTCTCGGTTGTGTACAGGCAACCATATATTTTTTACCCATCATAACCCCCTTCTCTCTTGCATAATCTAAACACCATTGAGGGATTTGTGTTGTTTTTCCACTTCCAGTTTCCCCAACAAGCACCAAACACTGATTTTTGTTGAGAAGTTCAAGAAACTTTTCTCTATAGTCCCAAACTGGCAAAGCCATCCTTTTTCTCAAAAATTCAAAAAATCGTTGAGAATAAGGTCTTCCATTGAATGGATTTGATTTATTCTAAAAAAATAAATTTATTTAAAAGTTTATTTTCAGCCTTACCAAATCAAATTTATAATTCATTGTGTTTGCATTAGATTCAACAATACTTCGTTTTTTGGCTTCTACAACATCAGAAGTGTTTGAATGAGTACGTTTTCGACTATTATGGGAAATATCTTCAACCTCCTTTAAAAAAAAATTTTTTTTAATAAATAAATTTTATAACCTTTTTTTCAATTTTAGCAATTGTTTTATCGTCTTTGCTCATTGTTGCAACTTTTAATAGAATAACTACAGCCCTTCAACCTGAAAAATGATCAAAATTAACAAAAGATAAAAGAAAAATTGAATTACAAAAAATTGATTTAATGGAAATTTACAATTTGACAGGCTTAACGACAAATGAATACCTAGACATTTGGTCAAACGGACATTTGGTCTAGAGAACATCTGGTCCGTTGGGACATTTGACCGATAAAAGGGATTTTTGGTAGAAAATTATTTTTTTTTAATATTATTTAATTTTTTAGATGGAAGTTTATAAAACAATTAAAAGATCTGTTTCATCCAAAGCAACAAGCATAATTGGTTCTTCTCGATTTTCTAACCAAAATTCATTTATACCTGAAAATAAGACTGAACCAATTTATACATGGATACATCCACCAGGTTAGTTTTTTATTAAATACCTAATTCCTTTTTTTCTCTTATTTTCTTAGATTTATTAATAAAAGGGAGGGTGGAATATACAGTTAAAATGCTTGGACACGTTGATGTTAGCAATTCAAAAGGGACGGCGGTTGTCCAAGATGCTATTGCCAAACTTCGATTACAAGCACTTACTAAACAAAATGAGACTGGACAAATTCCAAAATCGAGAAAAGTAAAAAAGATTTAAAAAATTTTATATAATATTTAAAAAAGGTTATAATTCAAATTAATGTTAATGAAGTAAATGTAATTGATTTAAAAACTAGAGGAATTCAATTTAAGGTTTTTAATTAAATTATTTTTATAAAAGTTTTTATTTTAATTTTAAGCATCCAATAAATAGAATTTCTTATTGTGCAAAGGATAAACAGGTTCGGGGGAAAATATTTTAGAAATATATTAGCTTGTTTTTTGTTAATTTTTATGCTAAATTGTTATATTTTTGACATTCAAAAAAGCTTATATTTGAGGGGTTAAAATTAGAAGTCGGTACAGGACAGGATTCTGCACAGGTTTTTTCAGGATCCTATCCGAAATCCTGTAGGATCCTGTCCTGTTCGAAATTTTAAAACCCAATCCTGATTCGGGATCCTGCAAATGTGATTTTACCGATTTCTAGTTGAAATAATGTTTAATTAATTAATAACAATTTTTGTTTATTTTAAATAAAATTTTCAAAAATTTTTAATGTTTAAACTAATTTTTCAGAAGAAAATGCTTACTTATATTGCCAAAAATGATGTAGATAAACTTCAATGCTTTGTATTTTTGAGTGATAAAATGGCTGAAAATATTGAACAAACAATTTGTCAATCTTTTGATTTAACTTTGGAGGTTTTTCTTTTATAAAAATTAAAAAGAGGGAAAAGAATTTTCTAATTTAAAGCGTTATGCTAAAAAGAAGGCACGTTCCTTTGAAGATCAAAATCAAATAATTCTTTTATTGAGGAAAAGAGTTTCTGAATTGGAAGAAGGCAATAAACAATTGGAGGCAAAAATGGCGAGATGTACTTGCGAGCAGAGTAATAATAAGGTTTGGATTTTTTGAAAGGAAAGAGACGATTTTGAGAAGGTTCTGAACAGAAGTTCGAAAATTTTTTTTCCATTTTCTGTTCGGATATACAAGAAATTTCCTAGAACCGATACCCTGTTTATGTAATTATAAGATGAACTGCCCTTTTCTAAGGGAACCACCCATTTTCTGTTAAATCAACAGATAAATTTTTTTCTGAATTAATATTTGTTTTCTCTAATAAATTCATGCTTTCTTATTTTTGTTTTAAAATGCCTTTTTTTAATTTTTTTTAATTTAAAGGATTTACTTATTTCTCTTCCAACAATTCCCCCAACTGAACCCAACAATTATTTACCCTCATTTACTTCAAAATCATTTTCATCCCCTCCACCTCTGCCTTTAGCCCCACCTCCTCGCAGATCAAGTACTTCACAAAATGACACAAATAAAATATTGGAACAAATATTTGAACAACAACAAAAACATGTTAACCCCCCTCTTTCTGTTCCGCCAGAAGATATTTTTGATGTTTTTTTCTTATCATTTTTTAAAAAAATAAAATTTAATCTTTTTAGAATGATTTTGACCCTAGAGCAAATGAAAAGAAAAGTGTTCAAAAAAATGGTTTAATTAAATTAGAAGAATCTAACAAAAAGACTTCAACTCAAAATCTTGAAGAACTTTTACATCGACTTGATTTTCAGTAAGAAATTTAAAAATTTTCTTTTAAATTTTTATGGAAAATATTAAAAAAAAGGAATTGAGATTATTAATCCATTTTAGACGAAATAATTTTTAAATCTAAGGAATTAAAGGGAAAGTGGATATTTCAAGCTTCAAAATTTTTTTTAGTTAGTAGTAATGTCTTTGTGGGTTTTGTTAAATAGGAAAAAAATTTCGGTATTGAAAAAATTTAAATTAAATTTAGAATGAAAGAAGCAACAAATGACCAATTTCAATTGGAACGTGGTGATATTGGAGATGCTGGAAAAGATTGGCCAGAAAATCAAGAAGAGGAAGAAAATGACGAACATTACAGTCAACTTGCTGGACCTTCTCCTAAGGCTTAAAGAAAATTTTCAAATTTTCTAAAATTACTTAAAGGTTTAAATATTTTTTAGGGGGAGGGGTTTAATTATTTTTGGGTTTACTTTTTTTAATTTTTAACAAGAACAAAATACCTTTCCCTAAAATTAAATTTTGGTTATTACCAATTAATCATTTTTATAATTTTTCTAAAACAAAAAACACCTTTTTGGATGTTAATCTGCATTTTTCTAAAATTTATTCATCTTTAAATTTTTATTTTTGGGTAATTTCTTTTTTAATTTTGTGATTTTTGTGTGTTATTTTTACTTAATTTATATATATTTTTTGTCTTTTCTTTGCCTAATTTGTATTTAAAAAAATCTCTTATCTTTACATATACTTAAAAAAATAAAATTATCGGTTCAAAATTATTTTTATTTACATCACTAGGGTGCGCCGGTCAAAAATAAAACAATTGAAGTAAAATAAAATCAAAGCGATTTAAAATGTTGAAAGCCCCTTTTACAGCAAAATTATTTTAATGATATTCAAAGTAAAAAAATCAAAAAATATCCTCCCTGACTTCAAAAATATTAGCTTTTGTTTAAATATTTATTTACATCATTTTTGCCTTTTGTTTTTTATATTCTTCCCACCAACGTGAATGAGCATCTAATGCACTTCTCTAAATATTAAAAAAATTTTAATTCAAAATTTTCTTTTAAATTTGGAGAGTTCTTAATCCCCAAATCTAAATAATAAATATGTAATGTCTAATAAAACTTTCGAAAAAGTGAAGGCTAATTTGTGAATTAAGGGCAAAAAATATTCGAAATTCTTAAAATGTCCTCTTTAGAATTTTCTTTAACCTTCTTCAAAATGAAGGCTATTTGACGGACATTTGAGAATGAAAGAAAAGCTTATTAGACTTATTACGAAACTAGTTACACATAAAAATTTTACAAATAAAACACTGAAAATACCCAACAAACTTCAGTGATATATACCAAAATTTTCAGAATAATTTGACTTTTTTCGAACCCGGACCTACTAACCCCCTTAATTTTGACATCCTAGAGACCTTCTAATTTTTATTAAAAAAATTAACCATTTCATTCAAATTATTTTTGGTCATTCCCTTCATAAAAGCATTGAAAAGTTCGGTTTGTTGTTTAAAAATAGTATTTGATTCATTAAATATTTTTTGTGACATTTCAAACAACTTTCTTTGTTGTTCATAAATTTCATTTCTTTTTTTATTGAATTTTTGATTTTCTTTATTAAGTTCTTCATAAAAATTTGAATATTCTTTATTTAATTTTTGTCGTTGAGCAAAATGTGCTGCCGATGCTGCTCGCCTTTGTGTCTGAAAATTAATTTTTAAATTTAGAATATTAAAGACAATTTTTTAATTGTTAAGAGATAAATGTTTGTTAAATAGTACCTTCAAGAAAATTATTTAAAAAAATGAAATATTAAAGAAAAAACCACTTTATATAACATCCCCATAGTTTCGCTTAAAATTTGTGGACAATTTTTAATTTTGATATTTTATTCAAAATGCCAAAAACTTAATTATAAGGCAACGATACCCATTTTTCGGAATAAAAATTTTATTTAAAATAAAATTTTTCAATTTTACCATTTTCTCGTTGTAATTATCACGAAGCCTTTTAGCCTTGAGAAATTCAAAAGCTTGTTTAACTTTAAGAAACATTTGATGGGCATATTCTTTTTGATTTAAATTTTTGTCTGGATGCCATTTTAAAGCCATCATTTTGTAAGCTTTGGTTATTTGAATTAAATTATTACATCCAGGTTGTAATTGAAGAATTTTATATGGATCAGAATTAAATGAAGACATTTTTTAGAAAACTTCAAAATACCTAAATTAAAAATTAACAAAATAAGCACTTTTAAAAATAAAAAAGGAAAAAAAGTTAAAATTGAAAATAAAAATAAATTATAAAAATTTGTTTGCCTCACTTGCTTCAATATTTTTAGGATAATTTGTCTTATGACAGAATGCCAAAATTCAATCGAAACTTTTCAAAAAACGAAACAGAACACCTCAGTCTCGCTGTTTCAGTCCCTTATATTGTGTGATCAAATCACTTTATAAAAAGCTACAGCGCGAGAAATATCGATGATTACGTTCGCGCTTCTCCGGCTTTAACGTTTTTTATAAAATAAGCTTATTAATTAATTCCTACATCCAAAGAAATTCCTCCCATCCAGAGCTTTCATTGAAATAATTATTTAAATAGGCTTACAGATTTTTAATCTTTTCTCTTTTTAGGTTTGGATGGATATGATACTTTTAATTTCTGCAATGTTTGGTCCAAGGATTTATCGTTTGGTTGATCAACACCGTTTATATGTGCCTAATTTACTAGAATCTACAGGCAACAAAATGTTTTCTGTTGGGAAATGTGTTAAAGGCTTAACTATTTTAATGTCTCCATTACTCGTTCCTTATATTTTATTTACTTGGCCTACTTCAAGTTATTCTTCTACAGCTAAATTTGTTGTATTTTTTTATTTGACGGCTTTTATGTTGAGAACTTGTGGAAGAATTTCAAAGTTTTTTTTTAAATTTTTTTTTTAAAATTTTTATAAATTTTAGTAAAGAATATTGTAATTTTATCAAAACACTTGATCGGGCAAGAAATAATCCAAATTCAGAAAGCAAAAAACGATTGAAACGTTATGATTATGAGGTTTAATTTTTTAATTAATAATTACTTTTGTTGGCTGTCATTTCCTTTACAGAGTCCCTATATTTCCTTTTTTTTCTATCCACTTTTTTTACCTGACCAAATTTTTAGTTACTTTTTAGGGAAATTGAGAGAAAAAAAACTCAGTGTCTTACAAACTTAACTATTATTCAAGTTGTTTAAAAAATTCGGATTTATGGTCAACACAATTTTGAAAAATCAGAAATAATTTCTTAATTTTTATTTCAGAAAAAAAATATTTTTTTTTTTGCAGATATTTGCTGCTCCAATTGATTTTTCTGCGGCAACAGTTCCCAATTCTAAATGGTTTGCTCCATCTCCAATTATTAAAAACGATTTAATCGAGCCATTTAATACAATAAGAAGTTGGACTTCTTGGATTATTGCAAATACTTTTGGACGGAGAATTTTATATCCTGGATCGTTAACTATTTTACATATTCTTGCACAGGATCAGTTATTGGAAGGAAGGAGTAAACTTTTGGAAAGGGTAAAAGAAAAATTGTTGAGGAAAGTCAAAGTCAACATAAAAATTTTTAGTAAACCTTTAGAAAGATTTAATCCAAGTCATCGAGAATTTTTATTCTTGAACTGAAATTTAGAGTTTATTTTTGACTTTGTCCGCAATTAAAATTAAATATATTTTTTAAATTAAAATTTAAGGGAGGCCAAAGAAATATTTTGTTAACTGAAGATAAAAATAAAATTGATACTCTTTTTATTGATAATCGTTCTGAAGAAGAGGATAATGAAAATGGCAAAATTTTGGTGTAAGTTTTTTTAAAAATTATTTTTAATTTTTTCGATCTAATTTTTGTTTTCTTTTGGAACAAAATATTTTGCTACGAGCCTCCTAAAATTTCTCATTTTATTTCTTTTTAATTAAAAGATTTTTTTAGTATTTGTTGTGAAGGAAATGCTGGTTTTTATGAAATGGGTATAATGATGACACCTTTAAGTTTAAAATATTCTGTTCTTGGTTGGAATATGCCTGGTATTTTTTCTTTTTAAAAATATTTTTTAATTAATTTTCTTTCAAAAAAGGTTTTGCTGAAAGTACGGGAATTCCAAAACCTAAAGCTGTACTTCTTGCAATGCAAGCAGTTATGAAATTTGCAATTAATGATTTGGAATTTGAGCCTGAACAAATTGTTCTTTTTGGGTGGTCTATTGGAGGTTTGAATTTTTTTTGGATTTGAACTTTAATGTAATTGGTTTTGGTCTATATATTTATATTTACATATTCTGTCAATAAGGCTAAGAACTCATGTTTTTTCCACAGCCTTATTGTCGGAATATGGAGTAGAAAATTATTTTCCCATATCTAGATAGATTTCAGATTTAAATTTAAAAATAAATCTGCCATCTTTATTGACATAAATCATTAGAGAAAAAATATTTTCAGGATTTCCGGCCACCTGGGCAGCAGCCAATCACCCAAATATTCGAGGACTTATTTTGGATGCTAGTTTTGATGATTTGGTTTTTTTAATAAAAAAATATTTTTTTTTATTTTTAATTTAGGCTTCTCTAGCTATTTCTAAAATGCCTTCAGTTTTAAGTTCGTTTGTGAGATATACTGTTAGAAAATATTTAAATTTGCCTATTTCTCTTCAGGTTTTTTTAGAATTCTTTTTATAAAAAGAGTAAATTTTAAGTTTTTTAGTTAAATCAATATGAAGGTCCAGTTCTTATAATTCGTCGTTGGGATGATGAAATAATTGTGACTGAAGATGAAAATGAGGAAACGAGAAGAAGCTCTAACAGGGCAAATTGGATATTAATTAAATTACTTAAAAATAGATATCCGGGTCTTTTAAATGATGAAGAACACGAAAATATTGTTTACGAATGGTTTTTGTTTTTACTTAATTTTTTGGAGATTTTTGTTATTTTTTATAGGCTTGCAAGAGAACCACAACAGCGTTTATTAGATTTCCCTCCAGAAGATTCTTTGGATCCTCAAAACATTCCAAATGAGGAGGAAATGGAAGCGCTTGAATTAGAAGATAGGCAGAGGTATAAAAATTATTTTTTTAGTCATTTCCACCATGAGCCTAGTCTATCGCACTACTCGAACTTATTGTTAGTATGTAAATATTTAAGATTTCGGAGACTAGGCTCTGTTAGATAGAGGGTATCGATCCTTTATCATATGGGCGATAAAACGTCGTGAGAAAGGTTTAAGTCATTAAGAAGAATCTTCATTAAAATAATTAATTTTCGAGTCATTTATTTGACAATATTGTGGGACTGCTAGCTAGGGGGTATCTTACTAGGATGCTTTGATTAAGCTCAATTTTTTAATTTAAAATATAACCTTTTTTAATAGATTAATTCATCAATTGTGCACCAAATATTTTGTTGATTTTATGGATGCTACTCATAGTGTTCCTTTAGATCCTCATCATTTTAATATTCCAAACAAAGTGGGAGACTAATTTATTTAAATTAAAAAAGAAATTAATTTATGGATCTCTTTTTTCCATTATTTCTCTTATTGCGTGGTTTGTATTGTTTTAATAAAATAAATTTTGAAGATAAATGTTGTAATCAAACATAATAGGCATTTGTTGAGATTTGTTGAATTGCTTAATATTTTGGAAAATTAAATCTTTAGGTGATCTTGTTTTTAAAATTCCTAAATTTATTTAGAGAGATAGGCCACCAACCCGAAAATGAAATTATATACCATCGGACCAAACGAGGCAAAACCTGAAAATTTTGGTCAAATCCTTGCTTAACCGCTCTCAAAAAAACACTAGGTTTAAATAACTCGACAAAACTTAGATTCTATCAAAGCCCCTAAATGATAATTATTTGCCTAAACTTAATTATAAAGCATTAATCTTTTTACCACTCCCAAAGATATAAAAACTATTTATAATGGGAAAAGAAGCATACAAATTCAAGTTAAAGTCATACAAAAAAAACAGAAAAAGTTCATGTATTCGGAATATAAATTTAGGTACTCATAAAAGTTAAAAACAATGAGAATTAAAAGACGAATCACAACACAATTACAAATGATTTTAGTAAAAATAAAATTGGTTATTTAAATTGAAGGAGGAAGAAAAAAAGTTAGATACATATCTGGTTATAATTATAGAATAATTAATTTTAAAAAAAAACTTCTCGCATCTTTTTAATAACGGCAACCAACACAAAAATGAAGACCGGTAGGAGAGAAAAACATGTGTTATGTTGTTAAGATTGACCAACTGAAAAAAGGGAAAACATTTTTAAAGCAAGCATTTATATTTTTAAAAGTTTTTATTGGAATTTTTACAAGGGAGGAAAATATTATTTGAAGGATTAACATGAATTGGGGGGGGGGAGGTAAGAAAAAAATTGTTAGACTTTCCCGTGCGAAGATTTTCCCGTCGCCCAAAATTTTCTAGTAGTGGTTAAAAGAGAAACTCTAAGAATTAAATAATTTTTGTAATTCCCCATATTTTCTATTTTACACATTTAAAACAAAAAATAAGCAAAAAATACAAAAATTTATTTTTTACCGTTTTGAGGACGAACAACGTTTGAACCATAATGTTGTCCAGGACGAATTGGTTTAGCTAAAAGAAATTAATATAAAAAATGTTTTTAATAAAAGAATTCTTTTCCAAACCAATTTGAAGTCCCCTTCGAGCCAAATTTCTTTGTCTAACAGCTTCCTTTATACGTTCAACTTCGAATTGATATTTTTTACGGTCTCTCATAGCGTTTTCTTTAGTTTCACGAAGTGCTGCCTCCAAACTTTTTATTCGTTCTGTACAAGCTCTATAACGCTTTTCCAGTTTGGGCAATTCACAACGAAGATCAGCATTGTCACGAACAAGCTATTTTTAAAGTCGATTAGCTTATTTCCGAAGAAAAGAATATTTTTATGATTAAATTTAGGAATGCATCTAGGATGAATAAGTGCTTGATCACTCATTGTTCCTTTAAGAGAAGTGTCGAAATAGTGAAATTAAGAAAGGAGTTGAATAAGGGAAAAAGGAAGGGACTAAGGAATTCAAAACCGAAAGTTGAGCTAAATATTTAACGGAATTGGACAGAATAGAAATTTAAATAAAAGTTCCCCTCAAAACTTTTTAGGTAATCAAAAATTATTTTAAATTTTAATTCAATACCTGTTTATGAACACTAGTTAGTTGCTCCAAATTATTTTCCAAAAATATAATTTTTTGTTTTTGTATTGGACTTGAAAGAAATTCATCATCAACTTCAGGTCCACTTGCTCTTTTAATTCTTTGTGACAAATCTTGGGCAAAAGCTTTTCGAAGGTTGTGAAGTGCCAACAATTCTTTATTTACTGTTTCTTCTAACCCTTTCAGATCCTGTTTTGCTTGTTCTCTTTTGTCAGAAAGTGCTGATAAACTTTTTAAACGTTTTTCTTTTTCAGATTCATCATTTTTAAGACGGTCATAATCTTGTTGAAGTTTTTCACGAGCAAGTTGCATTTCTTGGATTGATTCCTTCAAAAATAATATTTAAAGGCTGTTTATTAAATTAATGAGGAACAAAAAAATTTTCTTTTAAAAAAGGGACGGAAAAAAGGAAGAACACATATCGAACAATTCCTTTAGGAAACACCAAGATTAGGGTTGCCGTTTTCGTAGTCGAGCCGACGTTCGAGTTATTTTTTTCGGCCTCATTTTTATCGGGCCGGCCCGACCGAGTCTTTTTCGGGCCAAAATTCGATGCCTGGGACCGGCAACCTTAACCAAGATATCTTTCATATGTCCGGATCAAAAAATTCCAATCGAAAAAAAGAAATCCCCCTCACGTCAATAAAATTAAAAACAAACCGTCAATTCTTTAATTTGACTATTCTTTAATGCAATTTGATCTCTTAGTTGAGCAACCAATTTTTGATGTTGTTGTTGTAAATCTTCATTTTTCTCTCCAGAACTATTTATATTAGCCAATTTAGCATTTAAAGCATCCATTTCATCTTCTAATTGACGTTTTTGTGTTTCTTGTGATTCTATTTGGGAATGCAAAGATTTATTTTTGGCATCCAATTGTTGAACTTGGAGTTTACAATCATCCAATTCTCTTGATAATTCATCAGCTTTCTTTTGGGCATCCCCAGAACCACTTTCCAATTGCAAAAGTTTCTTTAAAAAATTAAAAAAAGATAATAAAAACTGTCCGTAACAATTTAAAAAATTTTTGGCGAATTTCAGAAAACACAATTCCTTATGAGGGTACAGCTACCCCCTTTGCCCTTTGACTACTATATTTAAAAATCTTCTCCAAACCTGTTGATTAGCTTTAAAATCATTGCTCAACTTGGAAATACAAATACGAGCGTGTGCCAACAATTCCTCATCTATCGGTTTATCACTTTGATCCAAATCATTTACAAACTAAAAATTCTCAGAATTAATTAAACTTCAAAATAACCTTTTCTGCAAGAGTAAAATTAGCTTCTCCAAGCTCTGACATCTCTTTAAGCATATTTTGAACACTTTCATAGACTCTTTTCTATAGCAAAAAATAATTTCAATTTAAAATTAAAAGAAAAGTCAACCTTTTGAGTAAGACAAATTTCCTTCATTTCCTCCAATTTAGTATTCAAAAGAGTTGCCTCCAATTTTTTCTTATTAATTTCCTCGCTAAGTTGTTCTAAAATACAAAAATATTTTTATAAATATTTTTAAAAATCAGACCATGATCTGTTGCCAATTGAGAACATTCAGTTTTCTTTTGTTCAAGATTTAAAGCAATTTCTTGGATTGCAGAAAATAATTCTTCTGTTTCTTCTTGAGATTTAGCAATTTGTTCTAAATAAACATAAAATTTAAAGAATATGTTAAATACTCTTTTAATTTACTTTCCCATTTCCATTTATAAAATGTTTAAAAAATAACGAAAAAGGAATCAAAAGTGGAGAATTTAAAAGAATTAAAAAGATTTTAATATTTTCCTTTTTAAAAGTATATGATTGTGAACAACACTATGTACTAGTTTTTTCCATTAAAATAATATTTAGACAACTCTACACCCTTAACATTTATTGAAATTTTTTAATTCGGTATTCTAACATTTTCGAGTCGATTAAAAGACTACCAAATAATTTGTTAAATACCTTGTGCTTTTGATACTTCAGTCATTAAATTTTCATTAGTCAAAGAGCGTTGTTTAATAACTTCTTCCTAAATTTATTTTTGAATAAATTTATTTAAAAAAAACAAACTTGTTCCATTAACTGCTGTTTTTGTCTTTCAACTTGTTGTGATTGAGACTGAATTTCATCATCCTTTTCATCTAGTTGTGCATACAATTTAGTCCTTTCTTCTTCATATTTTCGTCTTTCATCATCACTTATTGGCCCAACACGCGAACTTAATAAAGGCTGAGGATTGGGACGATCAGATGGTGGAAATATCATTGATTCAGTCATTGAAGTTGGTGTCACTTAAAATTATTGAAAAATTGATTTTATATGTTTTAACAGGGAGACAGGCGTGAAAAGCTTTTTCTAATCTTTTACCAAATCTTTTAGCCAAGATTTGGTAAATGTTAAAAAACAAAAATTGGAAAACCCTTCAAGTTTTTCAAATTTCTTAACCTCAAAAATAAAATCCTCTTACTATCAGAATTCGATGTCAAATTAGCAGACAAATCAGCAATTGAAGTTGTCCATTCAGATTCTGCCAACTTTTCACCAGCTCTCCAACGTTTTATTTCTTGATCCATAATTAACATGTGTTGACGAAGTTTATTAACTTTTTCCCTTTCACGTTCAAAGCGTCTCTTCCATTCCTCAGCAGTCAATTCCTCATTGACAACAACAACATTTTTGATTGTTTTGGCTCTTAAAAAGGAGAAAGAATTTAATGATCAATTTCAAGTTTTTCGAGTTGACATACCGTTGCCCAAAAAGCAAAGTTGATTTTGTTTCAGCTTCATTATAAGAAGCAGGAGAACAACAAATCTTTAAAAGAAATAATTTAAACAACAAAATAAACTTTTAATTGTACCACAATAGTTGTGCGGGAATTTCCACCAAGGGATTCTTGAAGAATTCTCGTCAATTTGCTATCTCTGTAGGGAACGTGACTTTTCTGAAAAAGAAACAAAAATATTTTTTCTTATAATTTTCCAAACCGTTCCCTCTGCCAAAGCGGAAATAACATTCCCCAATGCTGAGAGAGATTTGTTGATGTTTTTAGCTTCTTCCAAAACAGAGCCTTCCGCACCCGTTTTGCTAACCTATTAATAGTTAAAATGTTAAAAAATAAAACTTTTTACAAAACCTTCTCACTTCCAGCAAGATCTACCAAATAAAGCTTTCCAGACAATTTTTTCTGTGTAGCTTTGTTTTCTTGGTCTACTTGAATTTGGAAAACGCTGTGTGAACGAGAACTGTGTTCATTCATATCTGTATAAAAATGAATTTTTAATAATTAACGAATGGTCTCTTTAAGAGTGGTTTCTGCATGGAACATGGGAACTATAAATTTAAAAAATCCAAACTTGTAACGGCAACTTGTCTATTAGTCTTTCCATCTTCTATAGCTGCCAAAACTTCGTCTGGACTTGAAACAAATAATTCTGTAACATTTTTAACAAAAGGAACACGATTTTTGTCTTCATGAATTGTTAAATTTGTTTTTGTAACATCCAATAAATCTCGAATTCTTTCATTATAAATTTCAAAATAAGACACTTTTATATGAAATTCCAAATTTTCATCGTCCTAAATTTTTGTGTAAAAAATATATAAAAAAATTTCTGCAAACCAAATTAAATATATGATTGAAAATATCATTAATAATTCTTGGAATAATTCCTTGCTTGTCAGATTCACCAATTACACCCTAAAATTAATTAAATAAATTAACTAAAATATAAAAACCTCCATTGTGTGTGTTTTGCCTGACGATGTTTGGCCATAAGCAAAAATTGTTCCATTATAACCATTTAATACCTAAAAATTTTTTTGTTTAATTAGTAGAAGTTAAAAAAATTTTCAGCAAGCATTAAAAGTAAGAGGATTAGACAAAATCGTTCTAAAAATATTTTAGGAAAAATTAAACAAAAACTGATTTCAAAAAATAAGTGACAAAACAAAATCGATATTTGACAAGAATCGAAAATCAATTGCCGGTTATGGCATTGCCCAACTTTACCAGTTTATATCTCCCGCCCTCTAAAATCTTCCCAAGCCCCTCAATGTCCACTCTTTTGTCCCTAGCTCATAAAAATAAAAATCTTCTTTTATTAAATTTTAGTTAAAATAAAACAAACATCTTGAACAATATGATGAGCTGCTCCTTTATAAACATTTTCTTGAGTGTCATTTGGTTGAAAAACATTATCAAATGCATAAGTTTTCCCCTTTAAATTAAATTTTTAGGAAAAAATAATTTTCAAAAAATCTACCGTAACCATAACAGTATCTTTGCCTTGAAACTTGACAACAGAAGATGACCCGTTTTTCCTTTCAATTTCATTTAACGGACGGACACGACAGACAACCTTTTTTAAAAAAATTAATAAAAATAAATTAAATATTTAATTAACCTGAATACAACATTCGGATGGATTAGCCATCCTCTTTTGAATTAATTAATTTGATAAAATATTATTAATTGTTAGAGTTAAATTAATTAATTACCTAAAATTTAATTTAAAACGTGGAAATATTTTGAAATAAAAGAGAGATGAAATTTATTGAAAAAAAGGAGAAATAAGTTTTGGGGTGAGTCAACAGAAGGTTTGTGGAGAGGAAAAGTACAAAAAAATCATAAATGAAATTTGGAAAGAATTTTTAATTGAAGAATTAAAAAACTCTTAACAATCCTCCATTAAAGAGCGTTTAACAGTAAAGTTAATTAGTAGAATATGAAGGCTTGGAAAAATCGAAGTTTAAAAACAATCAAGCGTAAATGATGAAAATGAGCTCGTTTAAACGCGGTCTTCAAAATACTTTCAGATTATCACCCAAAATTCGTCTATTAATTATTTTCTTTCTGGGATTTATGGATTATGGAGGTTTACGTGTGAGTAAACAAACAAAAATAATTATTCCTTCACTACAGGTAAAAATGTGTATATTGCGCATTTGATTGTACGACACTTGCGGACCGACTTTTGCGGACCGACCTTTGCGGACGGACATTTGCGGATCGGACATTTGCGGACGGACATTTGCGGATTGCGGATAAACATTTGCGGATCGGACATTTGCGGACCGCTTTTGGGAAAAAAAATTTTTTTTAATTAAATTTAATTTTCAAAAACAAAAAAAAATATTTAAGTTTATTTTAATATCTTTTCGATGGGCAACTTTTTTATTAAAATGGTCAACGTAAACCTATTGAGATTAGGCGAGGCGCTTGTGCAAAACCCTGCGCTTCGCGCAGGGTTTTGCGGCACGCGCTTCGCGGGGAGTCAACGGTCGCTGGGTTCTGGGCTCGAAACTTAATCCTATTCCTATCATCGTTGACATGGTTATGCCCGGCTTCCCCCGTAGCAGTAAAAACTCCACGGATGCAACAGGTAAGGAGCTAAAATAAACGATCATAACTTTGTCTAACTTGTTAGATCGAAAAGATATTAAAATAAAGTTAAATATTCTTTTTTTTGTTTTTGAAAATTAAATTTAATTTTTTAAAAATTTTTTTCCCCAAAAACGGTCCGCAAATGTCCGATCCGCAAAAGTCGGTTCGCAATCCTCAAATGTCCGTCCGCAAAAGTCGGTCCGTAAATGTCTATCCGCAATCCGCAAATGTCCGTCCGCAAATGTCGGTCCGCAAAAGTCCGTCCGCAAGTGTCGCACTATGGCGCATTTCTACGTCTACTCTAGTACCATTTTAATGTTTTTATAAGCAGAAAGAAAATTGGTTAGTTTTAAATGAGGGTAGTAAGTAAAATAGAAGAAAGGAGGGAGGGAGGGCGCATAGAAAGAATATCAAAAAGAGAGGGCTTTGATGCTGGTTGGCCTTTTTCTACTTGTAAAATACTATTTTCAATCTCTCCTTGAGTGAGGGAAAATTCACCGACAGACAACTCAACGAAAGTTTATTTGAGTAAAAAATTTAGTTTCAAGCTGGATATAGGGGGACTTAGTTGAGGTGTATTGAATGCCCTCCTCTCCTAATTAAAATTTTTTAGAAGTTAAATCACAATTTGTATTTTGAATAAATATCAATAATTTTACCAAAAACTTGAGAAATACTTATAAAAACATTTATGTACTCTAAATTACAGTCGGTGAGTTGGTAAAATATGAATTTTATTTAAGTAAATATTGTGTTAAGCAGCTGCAGAAAAGAGAAAAAATTGAAAAAAAATGACAGAGGTCTGACAAATGAAAGAGAAGAAAATTAGCAGAGGAAAAATAGAAAACTCGTTCAGCCGTCGCCAATTTTCTTCCACTATTAAAACACCACAGCTGTGTGGGGGATGAACGTGGACATTTTGCCCTGAATGGGAGAAACAAAAGTTTTTGAGAAAAAAAAGCTAATTTTAAAAATGAAGAAAAAGAGGGTAAAGAAATTAAACTCTACAAAATTCAACCATTACATCCCAATACTTCAGTAAATGATTAAATGTAGGTCAATATAAAATAAGGGAAAATATAATTTATGAGGAGGTTATTTGCCTTATCTAAATTGGAAAAAATATTTAAATATTTGCCTGAGAGAAATATTTTAATTATTTCAGTCCAGGTTTGTTGGACATTAAGTAGTAAAAGACAATCAACAAATATAATAATTCAGATATTGTTTGTGTTAGAACTCTGTCTAGACAAAACTGGACAGAGTCCAAAACAAAATTTATTTATAAAAATAATCAAATTTTAAAAATTTATTTTGTTCTCACAATTATTTTGTAAAAGGAATATTTATTTTTATATTTTAATTTACTTCTTAATTTTCTTCAAGTAATTTCAACTTCCCCTTCACTAATTACTTTTAAACTTAACAATTCCAATCCAATTTGTTCAATTTTCTCTTTCTTGTCCCCTTTGAGTAATTCAGCAATTGTTTTATAATTTCCAGGTTCAATTAAACCAACCTAAAAACAGATTGGAAAAAATATTTTTAAAAAATTCCAAACCATCTCTAAATTTCCCTTCTCCCAATCTTCAACTTCGACAGTCTCAAAAAATCCTTTCAACTTTCCATGAATCGATTTTGCATGTTTAGCTGGGACAGAAACACGAACACGCATTTTGGCACGATCAATTTTTAGATTTTCACGAATTTTTGGAATCATTTCAAGGGCCTTTAAAAATTAAAAGAAAATAAAGAAAGTTTTGCTCCATTATTAGGGTTGTCGGTTTCAACCGAACCGAAACCCCAAAGACTTTTGGTTCAATTTAACCCAAAATTTAAATTCGGTTTTGGATTCCGAAGAATGTGGAGAGACCGACAACTTTAATCATTACTAAAAACCATCCCTACAAACCTGTTGTTTTGCCGAATGATTTGATTTTAAAGAAAAATGAGCGTCTCGAAGAGCATTTTCAATCGTCTAAAATAAAAGAAATTTAATTTAAAAATAATTTAAATCCAATTTACCGCCAAAGAATAAGGTCGCTGAGTTTCAGGATTAACACACATATTTGCAATTAAATTAGCGACTTCCTAAAGAAAATATGGAATTGATGAAATAAATTCAAAAAACCTTAAAAGAACTTTCAGAAGTAAGTTGGCGTTCCTTATCCGAAACCTGAAGGTCACCCTTTTCCAAAATCTAAAAAGAAAAATGATAAAATCAACTGAAAATGGAAAGGAAGTTTTTAAGGAATTTTATATTAAAAAGAAAGTTTAAATAAAATATTAAAATAAATATGATTCAATTTTCCTTTCCTTCCAATAAAAAAATGCGAAAACACAAATGAGAAAAATAATAATTTTATGGTTTTCGATTTTAGGGGACTGTATTTCGAATAGGTGGTTTTTCGATTTTCGAGGACATTTCGGTCCACTGCATATCCGCAAATGATATGGGTATTGTACTGAAACTAAAACTCCAGTATACTAAACTACAAAGAAATTTCCAAACTATCCAAGTCTTTAAATAAGACTAACCGTTTTACAAATTTCAAGTTGATTATCAGTTTCAAAACATTCAACAAGGTCATCTCTTTTAGCTAATTGACCTCTTGCAACATTTACAAAAACATTTTGGGTCTGCAAAACTTCATCAATATTTTTCTCTCTAAAATTTAAAAAATAAAATGTAAAATAAATTAAAAAAATAAACGTTTTGTTCCTCCAATTCAAAACTTTATTTTTATAACAAGCAATCTCAAAACGCTTCCCACATTTTTTAAGACGAACTATAGCAACATTAGTCAAAAGTTTTTGGTTTGTTGGCGTCTTTATTTGTCCAGGCATTTTTTAAAGTTCAAAATCTATTTGTAATAAAAACTAGTATTAATTACAATAAATACGGGTACAGCCCAAAACTGCGCGACCGAAACTGCGCAGGCCAAAACTGCGCAAGCCCAAAACTACGCAGGCCAAAACTGCGCAAAACTATTTAGTAAAAATAAATAAAAAAAATAAAGAAAAACATTCTCAAAACGGACAAGGCAGCTATACGCAAAATAGTTGATTCGACTCCGGCACAAGATGCACCACAAAATACTGAAAGTCGCGCGGTTTTGGTAATTCCTCAGAACTACCAACTTTATGAATTTGAACCTGGAAAGAAGATGAGCAAAGAATACTTGTTTTTGGTCGAGAAAGTTCCGAAGGTTTTTCTGAAGGTTCTTAGACTAACTAGTTAAAGGAAACTAACTAGTCTCTTTATTAAGCTTGGTCACATCTTATTGAAGACTAACTAGTTAAATCAAAATTTTTGTTGTAAAACTATGTTATTTTCCTGGTTTATTATCCTGGTTATTGAATTTTTTGTTAGAATGTTTTACATTTAATAAATTTTGAGGAACACCGAATTTTAAAAACGGAAGGCGGAACAGCAAAAAAAGACGGAAAGCAACGGAAGAGACTCCATCCTCTAGTTAGTTTTGCGCAGTTTTGGCCTGCGCAGTTTTGGGCTTGCGCAGTTTTGGCCTGCGTAGTTTCGGTCGCGCAGTTTCGGTCGCGCAGTTTTGGCTCGCGCAGTTTTGGGCGTGTCCCAATAAATACAAATTGTAGTTGATAAACATAACAGAAATGCATAGTAGAATAATTAATATTTCTTGAGGTATATATTTCTTGGGCATGTTATCTCGACTAACTCCTTAGGTTGACATACCGGTTAACCTACTACCTATAACTAATGAATCCCTGGTCAAAATTTCGGTATAATTTCGGAATACTGAACAGAAAGCAAATGGGTCAAGTGATATGTCATTCGAAAGAGCTCGTCGAGTTGAGTCGAATGGTGAAAAAAATTTCGTGCGGACTCATAGAGGGGCTGAGATATAGGCCCCCGAAAATCGAAAAACCATAGGGGGGACCAAGCTCTTTTTTGGGGTGAAAAATTCGAAAATGAGAATAATAGCTCATTCGAAAGAGCTCATCGAGCGGAGTCGAATGACACCAAAATCAACGAAATCCGACTTGATTTGACAAAGTTATGATCTTTTCTTTTAGCTCCTTACCTATGGCATCTATGGAGATTTTTGCTGCTACGGAGGCCCCAAATACGTCCAGAGCAAGGGAGATAGGATTAGGTTTATGGTAAGAGCCCAGACCCAGCGCCCGTAGACTCCCCGCGAGGCGCGTGCCGCAAAACCCCGCGCGAAGCGCGGGGTTTTGCACAAGCGCCTCGCCGACGCTCCATAGGTTTAGGTTTTTTGTTTTTTTTGTATCATAACTTTGTCTAATCTTGTTCAATCACGGTGATTTTGGTGTCATTCGACTCAGCTCGTCGAGCTCTTTCGAAAGAGATATTATTTGTATAAAAAAATTTTTTATTCCAAAAATCGCCCCTTTGGATCTTCAGTTTTTAGGGATCTATATCTCGGTCCAATCAAGTCGGATTTCGTTGATTTTGGTGTCATTCGACTCCGCTCGATGAGCTCTTTCGAATGAGCTATTATTCTCATTCTCGAATTTTTCACCCCAAAAAAGTGCTTGGTCCCCCCTATGGTTTTTCGATTTTCGGGGGCCTATATCTCAGCCCCTCTATGAGTCCGCACGAAAATTTTTTCACCATTCGACTCAACTCGACGAGCTCTTTCGAATGACATATCACTTGACCCATTTGCTTTCTGTTCAGTATTCCGAAATTTTTCCAAAATTTCTTCAAAATTTGCTGAATTGTAGTACTACAATTTTTATACAATCTTGCAAAATTTGAGCGGAAAATATGAATTTTTGGGGAGTTTAAGAATTTTCGAAAATCGGTAATGGTACCAGAAACTGTGCTTTTTTCGAAGATAATGACCGGGCTTTCATCCTTATTTTGTATTGAATTTAGATGTGCATTAACTTTATGAATTTCGCATTAAAACATCTGAAATTTTTTATAGAAACTAAAGAAAATTATCTATCAATTGGTTGCACCAGATATTTGAAAAATGCAAAAGTTGTCGAGATATTGGGTTTCGAAATCGGTAACCTAAAATAGAAACAAGAGTAATGATAAAAACGAGAGAGTAAATAAATGAAAGAGAGGAAAAACGAGAGAGTGTTTCGAGAGGCGCTCCGACTCGGGCACAGTGATCCATTTGCACAGTAAGACTTTTGCACAGAAGGCATCTGCACAGTGGACAATTGCACAGTAATTTGTGGTTAAGTGGATTTGTGTTAGGTTTTACTTATTGTTATAAGGGAATAAATGTTACTAATTATTAATACCTTTACTAAAAAATCTTAAATTAGGTATACTAGAATTCATAATTTTTTTCTAACCTAAGTATTTCTTAATTCTTTACATATTCTAAATTTTCGATCGCTTATCAAGTGGACAAATTCTAGCACCCCATTGTAGTCCTGAGTCTGCTATATTAGATAAACACCTTTCCACTTTTTTAAAAAATTTCTTGCGGGACACGCACTTGACTGAGTTCGCCTAGGTCGAACTGCGTTGGGGTAGTACAGTGCATTAGAAATCAACATAAACAAAAACTTCGGCCGTATCTGAATATAATGCTGCAATCAAATTTTTCTCCTTATTTTTAAAAATGGTTAATTTTCTTATATTTTCTCTTTATTTCTGATTTTTGCCTTAAAACTATAAACGCAATAGGATTATTTTTCTTTTATTTTTGTGAGCATTTACTTTTTTTTCTGTCCGATGTGTGTGCGTGTTGTCTGTCTGTCTGTCCGAGTTCGTCCGTGTTGTGTCAAAACTGTCCGTGTCCGTCCGTGTTTTCTGTCCGAGTCCGTCAGTGTTTTGTCTGCCCGTGTTCGTCCGTGTTTTGTCTGTCTGTCCGAGTTCGTCCGTGTTGTGTCAAAACTGTCCGTGTCCGTCCGTGTTTTCTGTCCGAGTCCGTCAGTGTTTTGTCTGCCCGTGTTCGTCCGTGTTTTGTCTGTCCATGTTTTACAACACAAAAATGTAATATTTTTTTTATTTTTTGCTTTTAATCTTTTCTCTATAATTACATTTGAACATGCCACAGGGAAATTCATTGGAAGCGAACGAGTGAAAAAGTCTGACCTTTCTGTACAAAATAAGGAAAAATATGGAAAGGAAAAAATGAAGGAAAAAATATGATTGCAGCATTATTTTCAGATACGGCCAAAACTTCTTTCTTGTTTAAAAAATGTTGTTAAGACTCGGGGCAATTATTATGATCAGTTAGATTTTTTATTCATTTGATTCTTTATGTGATTTGCGGATTTTTCTTATAAATTCTAGTATAATTTAAGATTTTTTAGTAAAGGTATTAATAATTAGTAACATTTATTCCCTTATAACAATAAGTAAAACCTAACACAAATCCACTTAACCACAAATTACTGTGCAATTGTCCACTGTGCAGATGCCTTCTGTGCAAAAGTCTTACTGTGCAAATGGATCACTGTGCCCGAGTCGTGTCACCTTTCGAGATGGTTAAATTTCCCGTTTAACCCGCCGTGATACATAAAAAAAACTACGGTAAATTAATCAACATACAAGGCTGCGGTTAGACACGATTCCGTGCCCACGATTCCGTGCCCACGTTTCCGTGCCCACGATTCCGTGCCAGCTCAGTTCCGTGCCGGCACGTTTCCGTGCCCACGGTTCCGTGCCAGTTATAAAGGGCACGTTTCCGTGCCCAATATTTAAATATATGATATTTAGAGATCGGGCTATCCAGACATTGATTTTTCCTGGATCCAGAGACTAGATCAAGGCATTTTTCAGCGTTCCTTGATTTTTTCTGACCTTGATTTTTCCTTGACTCAAGGTCAAGAATCTGGTCAAGATACCCAACCAAAATCAAGAATCAAGGCAAGGTCAAGGCAAAATTTTTCCTTGATTTCCTTGATTAATTTTCCCCCCAATATGTAAACAAAATGCCATTAAAATCGTGATCTAAATTTCTTGATATCCCCTTATATCCCTCATAATCCAACGCTATCTACTTGTTGATATCTTGATGTCACGCACAAGTCCTTTGATATTCACTGTATCCATCCAAATCTTTTTTTATTATTTATTAAATTAAAAAGAAGCTGGCACGGAAACGTGCCTATTATAACGGGCACGGAAACGTGGGCACGGAACCGTGTGCACGGAAACATGCTGGCACGGAAACGTGCCGGCACGGAACTGAGCTGGCACGGAAACGTGGGCACGGAATCGTGGGCACGGAAAGATACCCCACCGACAAGGCTGGCCCGAATTCGTCCCAGCCGCTCTCGTCATACTGAACGAAAACCCGGATTCGTCCCACTATCAATATAAATGTCAACTATGGGAGGGGGGGAGGTTTGAGAAATAGGAAAAACCATAGGGGGACCAAGGTCAATTTTGAGGCGAAAAATTCGATTTTACAAGTAAGAGCTGAGTCGAATTACACCAAAATTACCGTGATTGAACAAAGAAAAATATGTGAGTCGGTGAGACGCTGTGAACAACCCCACGCCGGTGTTGAAAGAGCCCATCTCGACGAGATGGGCTCTTATTTGTCCGAATCGGTTTCCGGGACATATGACGGAATTTTTCTTGCTTTAAAATTTTATTGCCATATTTTGAGATTTTATTTCAATAAAATTTGCTCTATAGTTATGACTACAGACATTTGTATCACTTTATTGTTCCATCAGACGGCTATTAACGACTATAAAGAGGTCTAGTATAGGAATGATCTCATATCAAGTGTTATCCCTTTGAGATACATATGCAACACATACCTAAGTATATGCGATCCTATATAATTTGTGAAATGTCGTAGTTTTCTTCAATTTTAGTTTGACAGTATTATTTTAATTAAAATCCTCAATTTTTAATCTCGT